AGTGATTAAAGAGGAACTGTAACTAAACTTGAGTCGTATTTTGAGATATCTTGTTAAGTTTGTCTTTATAACAGAATCCTTTCTTCCCATCACATTGGCAGAAATGAGCTTCCATACTTTTTATGTTTTTGGATAATTTTTCACAAACGTAACAACAAAAAGATTTGAACACAGAGACCTGAAATATTTGGTTGCTCTTCAGCTTCACATAAAATGCATCCGAATGTACAAGAAGAACTACATCACAATAAAAAGTTTGGACTGTCGGCAGGCGAACAGAGCGCCGCCCGCAGCAGAAACGTCACAGGTTTGATCCCACGTGGTGCGAGTCTATCAGCAGCAGTTGTGTCGTTTGTTTTCAGACTTCCTGTCCCGTGAGAGTTCAGGTAAAGGGGCCGGAGCGTCAGCACAGGTGAGTGCAGCATCACAGGAGGACTCACTGACATTTCCACACGAATAAACTGGAAGGAAAACAACAGGAAGAAATAGAAGAATTAAGCTAAGTAAGATTATTGTCATCCACCAATTCACAGACATGGAGGGAATCAGTGCCGTTGCTATGGTTACCATCAGGCTGAAGAACTGTGGTTAAATGGTCGACTTGGACCGCTGAATGTCGGCGGCGAACACATCAACGTAAAAACTTTAGTGAAGTCCACTGGTAAATGAAATACTGAGGTTTGGGGACCATGTATTGCTTTTGCTTTTTGATGAAGAAGAGGAGGAATAAATGGCGCTCACCTTCACTGACTGAACCAGAAACTTTGGTGTTTTCTCTGAGAGATCTGGTGTAATTTAATCTCACCTGCAGTCACTGCCACCAGCGCTGATGACGAACTTATCATCACAGGAGAAGCGAATGTTTGTCACGTGAGCAGAGTGACCGAAGTAACGCTTGTGTTTTGCCTGTGAAGAGATCAGACAGTGATGAAGTCACCTGGTGCACAGAAATACACAATTCAGGGATTCAGGTACTGTCCTATGAAGTTCACGTACAAATTTTTCTGAGCATGGAAAATCGAAGAGCTTGATGAGGCCGAAGTCGTCTCCGGTCACCAGGTTGAGGCCGGCGTGGGAAACACAAGCACAGTTGACATCCGCTTTCTCTGCGTTGCGAGGCCAAACGCCAAGAACCTCGTCACCCAGGATGCTAAAAAACATTGACAATTACTTTATAGGTATTTTCCCTAAACTCTAGTTTGTTTCCTTGGTTCTATATTATGTTGGTTCTATATATAGTTCCAAAATGCCACAATATATTCCAGAGGATCTCCTCTTGGTTCAACAGTTGGTTCCCTAAGCTCTAGATGCCAGCCTCACCTGGTCCAGGTAGCCCAGGTGATCCTCTCAAATACAGACTGCTCTGTGACAATCTTCCCCGAGGGAACTTCATGCACCTGTCGAGTGTAGGTGCTGGTGGACACCTGGGATGGACATGAAGGAGATTTTATGTTCTGTAATCAACTTATTGATGTCTGATTCTGCCATGAAAAAAAAAAATTTAAAAGAGTTTTACTGTAGAAAAAGCATCCGTTGCTACACTACAAGCAAACATTAGTAAAAGGTCAGAGGTCGTAGCACAATTGACTTATTATAAGGGAGTTATGGTTTTTAGTGTTTTTAACCTGGATGTGTTTGCTGTCAGCAGAGAAGTCGATTTGGATGATGAAGCCAGGGATGTCCTTACAGTAGCCAATCCTGTTAAGGGATGGTCCCAAAGAAAGGTCGTAGAAATCCACAGCACTTTCAACTGAACCCACCGCCAAGAACCGGTTGTCTGGACTGAACCTGAACCACAAGCAAACCCCCCAAAATATGTGCAGTACATTTTTTAGGTCCAACACAGAAGTGTTAAAGGATGATATCTGTTAAAGACTGATGTTGTACCGTATGTCTTGGATGGCGACACTGCGGTCTCTCTTCTTGCCCCAGACAGTGAGGGAGTTGACCAGCAGGATAATGAACTCTCCGTTCTCCATACCGATGGAAACCATCTCTCCGTTGGGACTGTAGGAGGTGCACTTGGCTGGATGACCCAAACTCACCTTGTTCAGAAGTTTCTAACACAGAAAACAAGATAACAGCAAATGGGAGTTAAAAGGTTGTACGATAAAGACTTTCTCCACCCTCAGTCTACAGATCTGTACCTTATCAGCCAGGTCCCATATTCGGATGGTCCCGTCATCGCTGGCGGAGATGAAGACGTCTTTGAAAGGGTGAGTCGCCAAACCCCAGATTCCTCCCTGAGTGTGTCCGTTGATCATGGTGTTGGAGGCAGCATTCTTTTCTCCTACCTCTATTATTTCTCCATCTTTGGTTCCTACCAGGATTTTACCCTGAATCATCAGAGATGAAAGACGTGTCAGGAAGTTTGGGATTGTTGGTCCAGAGACTAGAAGATCATCTTACCTCCTAACCTTTTTAAGTGTTCCTTAAATCAGTTGGAACTAGTTGATATAAATGCCTCATTAAATACATTACAGTATCTGTCCAAAAATTTTACATTGGGCATGTTTATCCATGAGTGTTCCACTAGGTATGGTTCTGCAAACAAAAGGTGCGACTGGGTGCCAAATAACTCTTGTTAACTGCTCTATAACTGAAGCCATAATGTGCTATTTAAACTCCATTTCACAGGACTTCCGGGTATGGCAGCGATCTGGTCGGTGGTGTAGTTCGAGAGCTCCCTGAACGGTCCGATATTTCCCCTGCTTTAGAGTAATTTATGCGTTTATATCTGTGAAGTTCTTATGGGGAAATATCAACTAAGAAAAGCTAAGACCACAACGAGTCCAAATAGTGAGGAAAACGAGGATATGGTGACAGGAGACGTCGATACAGGTGAAGCTAACGTGCATGCTACGATGGATGCCCTGCAAGCTAGCATAGGTGCTATCCGCGCTGACATAAAAGCAGGACACCTGGACATGAAAAAGGAACTGAGCGGTTTTTGTGAGACAATCAAAAGAGACATGAAGGAAGAGCTCGAAAACTAAAGAAGAAGTTAACCAGAAACTGAGTGAGATCGGGGCAGAACTTAAGAACACAGAGGCTAGGATGAGGGCGAGGAGCGGAACAATGCGTGTGAGTTTCTGGAGAGATTCATTAAGTCAGACATTGACCTCAATATACAACGCTGTCACCGGTCACCCGGACCTAAACCACCACCGCAAGCTGCCCCGAGATCCTTGATCGCTTGTTTCCTCATGTACAAAACCAAGGAACTGGTGCTGAGCATGGAAAAAGAAAGAGATGCATATCAACGGGAAAAGAGTCTACTTCGACCACGACTACCCAGCAGAAGTTATAAAAAAAAGGAAGGAATAGGCGCCATTGAAGAAGGTGTTAAAAAAACGGGGACTCAGATTCCAAACACCCGCAACTTTTTAAAGTCTTTTATGAAGAAGGACCCACAACATATAACAATGCAGAAGAGGCGATGGAGGATATGCTGAAGAAAGGGATACTAACAGCTGACGAAGGAACCAATGAGGGCAATACACCCACGGACGCATCTGCGGTAACACTTCGCAAGAAGCTGCAAAAGCTCCGCAAAGATGTCGGAACCGAGCCACAGACATTGAGCGAGCCAAAGAGAACCTTCAGAGATTCCAGCGAGCTCTCACACTCCAGGAGAGCATGACCTGAGGTGTACTCGTGAGTGATAATGAGAGGAAAGCAAATTTATTAATGATGATAACTATTTCAAAGTCTGGAACCGTCAGGAGTCTTTTGTGAGGGTGTTTTCTTTTTTTTTGTTTGTTTGAACACTGGTTGAATGTTATAGCTCTCTGCGTATGAGTAACATGATTATGGGAATAAGACTTCTGAGCTCATAATATTATAGAAAAAATGCTAATTGGACTGTTTATTTGGGTGACAGAAACTGCACTAAAACCACTAATTGTGTGAACTTTAATCGCTTTTAGGAAGATGTTTAGATACATCTGGAGGGGCCCTCCCTTTGGAGGCCTCCCCTCCCCGTTCAGAAGTTGTTACTTTACTTCACTGTTGGAGGTCATTTTTGTTTGGTTGTTTTGTTCAGCACAGATGGTTTTTATTTACATGTTTAGATTAATGGAGGGAGAAAATATGTGCATTAGAATTAAGAGGTAAAATGTTAAATCAGGAGTATAAAATAATCACTTTAAATGTTAATGGTCTGCTAAATCCTATCAAAAGGAGCAAGTTGATTACCAAAATGAAAAGAGAAAAACAACATATTATTTTTTGGCAGGAGACTCACCTCAGTGATAAAGAGCATGAAAAGTTTAAACACCTGGGCTTTAAAAATGCATATTACTCATCTTACAAACATGGACAAAAGAGAGGAGTTATAATATTAATCTCTAACAAAATTATATTCCAGATCTCAAAACAGATAAAGGATACTGAGGGGAGATACAATCTAGTAAAAGGTTACATTGACCACAAACAGGTAATGTATAGACCCCCAGGTAATGATAAAACATATATATATAAATATTTGATGTGATTGCTGAAGAGACTGATGGGGTCCTTATTTGTGTTGGAGACTGGAATATACAATTACAACCCTCCCTTGACTCCACTAATGTAATAAAAAGAATTAATCCTGACACAGTCACTGTTAAGAAACTTGTCCTTGAAGCAGGTATGATGGATGTTTGGAGGGAATTAAACCCAACAACGAGGTAGTTCACCCTTTTCTCCTACCCTCATAATGTCCTTTCTAGAACTGATTACTTTTTTATGTTTAATTCAGAAAGACACAGAATTTTAAAATGTCAAATATGGGTCATAGATATCTCAGACCATGTGGGTGTATATCTATCCCTACATCTAGACAGTGAAATTAAAAATACGACATGGAGACTTAAGACAAGCTTATTAAATGATCCTTTGTGCAATCAATACATTCAAAAGGAATTTAAAGAATATTTAGACCAAAATGATACGGAAGAAGTGTCCCCAAGTACTGTATCGGATGCTGCCAAGGCAGTAATAAGGGGAAAACTTATACTGTGGTCCTCAATTAAAAAGAGGGCGAAACAGAAACAAATGAAAGACTTGTTACAGGAACTAAAAAACCTAGAACTGAAACACATGGAACTTAATGATTCCAAATTATTTGATCAGATAAAACTCATTAAACAAGACTTAAACTATATGATAGTCATGAGGAGATGAAAGCTAAGTTTACCAAACAAAGGTACTATGATAATGGACCTAGAGCTAAAAAACTGTTAGCCTGGAGGATAAGAAAACAACAGGAGGAAAGGTCCATCCATAAAATTAAGGACACACAATCTGGAAAAATGTGTCATAAATTAAAGGAAATACAAAACTCCTTTGAAAATTACTATAAGGATTTGTACACACAACCGGAAGGAGCTGATTCTTTGAGTATTACACAGTTTCTTAACTCACTGGATCTACCATCCACTGGGTCAGAACAGAATAAAATAATGATGAAGGAAATAACGCAGAAAGAGCTGGATAATGCTATCTCGAGACTCAAAACAAATAAAATGCCAGATGAGGATGGATACTCAACAGAATGGTCCAAAACATTTAGAGAGTTACTATCACCAACATTATTGAAATGCTTTAATTTTACTCTTAATGGAGGAGAAACACCAGCTTCTTGGAGACATGCCATCATCTCTGTAATTCCTAAGGTGGGCAAAGATAAATCTGAGTGCAGTTCATACAGACCGATATCGATTTTAAACTTAGACTATAGACTATATGCCTCAATCGCAAAAAGTTTAGAAGATATTATTCCAGATATAATAGATGAAGACCAGACAGGGTTCCTTAAAACCAGACAGACACAAGATAACGTAAGACGGGCTTTACATTTAATGGAGCATATGTGTAAAAATAAAGATAAATTCTTTGTTCTCAGCCTCGACACCGAAAAGGCATTCGATTCAGTTAGCTGGGAATATTTACACTTAACATTACAAAGATTTGGCTTTAATATTAAAGTCATCTCATATCTAAAAAACTTATATTATTTCCCCTCAGCCAGAATCAAAATAAACGATAGTCTGACCAACCCTGTGCCACTTGAAAGAGGCTGTCGGCAGGGGTGTCCCTTAAGTCCGACCTTGTTTGCACTATTTATCGAACCTCTGGCTCAGGCTATTAGAGAAGACCAGGACATAAGAGGAATTTGGATAAAAGACTCTGAGTTTAAGACCTACCTTTATGCAGATGACATATTGATCACTCTTTCACAGCCAGATTTGAGTTTATCAAAACTAATGTCCTCCTTGAAAACATTTAGTCATTACTCGGGTTATAAATTAAACATTCATAAAACACAAGTTATTTCATTTAATCATATCCCCTCACTACAAATAAATAACCTTTGCAATTTTAAATGGGAGAAAAACATCATTAAATATTTAGGAATAAAAATTCCAAAGGATTTATCCACCATCTACGCAACTAATTATCTGCCAATTACCAAAGAGATAAAGACAGACTTAAATAAATGGAGTTTATTACCACTGGACTTACATAATCGAATAGACATAGTCAAAATGAACATCCTGCCACGACTGCTTTTTCTTTTTCTGTCAATACCAATAGAAATAACTGAAAAACAGTTGACGAAGTGGAAGAGAATACTATCTGGATTTATATGGAAAGGCCTTAAACCAAGGATCAGATATAAAACATCGCAACTGCCCAAAGAAGAAGGATTATCTTTACCAAACATAGTGAACTACTACAAATCTGCACAGCTCAGATATCTGATCTATCTGTGCAACCCATATTACAATGCTAAATGGAGCAAAATTTAAGTGGTTGGACAAAAACACCCCTAAACATTTGGTTAGCAGAATGTTGTAAAAACAAACCGGATAATCACATCAATTTTTCACGATTGGTGGCACATGACAAAGATTTTAAACCTGCCCAGATGGATGGGTGTTTCAAACAGTGGCTCTCGAAAGGTATCACAACGTACTGTCTTATTTCTGATAAAGGGAGACTGGACTGTTTTCAAAAACTTAAAGACAACTACGACTTAGAAAATCAAGACTTCTTCAGATACCTTCAAGTTAGAGCTCATTTTATCTGTGATATAAAAACAACAGAGGAAGGCATCTCTGATTTAATTAACATTTTGATTGACGCATACAAATCTAAACTAAGCCGTAAATTGATTACCTGAATCTACTCCTGTTTACAATCATTCACTGGCTTTTCCACTCTTTACGTTAAATCCAACTGGGAAAAATAAGCAAAAATAACCATTTCAGAAGATGATTGGCAAAACATTTGTAAAACTCAAATGAGCACTTCCAGTTCTGGTTATTGGAGGGAATTTTCATGGAAGAATATAATTAGATTTTTTATCACCCCAAAAATTAAACAGTTTCAGAAAGTTCAGTCAAGTTATGGATGGTGCTGGAGAGAGTGTGGAAACGCTCAGGCGAATCATTTCCATGTTTTCTGGCACTGCCTGTTTATACGACCCTACTGGCGGGATGTAGCGGAGGAAATTAAATCAAGAGTAGGCTTTGAGATTAATCCTGATTTTTGTACAATTTATCTTGGTAATATCTCCCCCACAATTAATGCTACAGATAAATATTTGATTAAAATAATCTTAGTAGCCAGTAAAAAAGCTATTACAAAAAGATGGCTATCAAAAGAGTCCCCATCAAAAGAGGAGTGCATTGCAATTGTTAAAGAAATATATGACATGGAAAAACTGACTTTTTCCTTGAACATGCGCATGGACAAATTCACTACATATTGGAGGAAATGGACAGCTCATCTTGAATAAATGGCCCCTCTTCACAACAGGATGTTACCTATGTAACTAACTGTGCTTTGTTGTTTGTTTGAGTAAAATGCCCCCTAAAGTCCAATTCGATGTACTCTCCCGATACCATATCATTATCAGATGGTAAATGGTAAATGGACCTGTACTTGTATAGCGCCTTTCTAGTCTTCCGACCACTCAAAGCGCTTTTACACTACGTACCACATTCAACCTTTCACACACATTAACTCAGTGATGGCAAAGTCCATTGAACAGAAACTAACTCATTCATACACATTCACATTCACACACCGATGCACGGCATCGGGAGCAATTTGGGGTTCAGTATCTTGTTCAAGGATACTTCGACATGTGGCACCAGGAGCCAGGGATCGAACCCACAATCTTCCGATTAAGGAACGACCTGCTCTGCCTCTGAGCCACAGCCGCCCAGATGCATGTGGAGGCAGTTTATGACCACACAAATTGCAATGGTTATTTCAAAAAACCTCTGACTGATTGGTTTTATAGTCAGATCTGTCCCATACCTTCCCTCTGCAGACGGATCGGACGTTCTCTACCGATTGGCCGGTTTCCAGCTGAAAAGCTCTGCAGCGCTTCATCTCCTGATCCCAAAGCTTCACAGCTCCGCCCTCTTTAGTCCTGTCAAATACACCAACAAACACCACGGTTTTATTTTCATAGTTCAGATGAAAGTATCTAACCCTACCCATACAAACTGTGAGTCCAATGTAATGGACTCACAGTTTGTATGCGTAGGGTCAGATATGGCTCACAAACTGTGAGTCCATTACATTGTTGTGTTGTGCCTGGTTGAGTTGAGGGGCTTGCAGGTGGGACCCCAGGAAGATTAGCAACGTCTACAGCCTTTGGAGATCCAAGCAAACTAAAACACTGAGTTACACGACCACCTCCTTCACAATAAAACTGAGTCAGTAAGCCAGTCAAGATCAACATAAACTAATCCAGGTGCTTGCCAAGCAGATCCACCCGCAGGTCTGGGTCCAGGAGTGGGCCCCTGTACACAAAAACCCTTTTTAAAATTTTCTCTGATCATCTTGAACCAACCATAGGAGTCAAAAACCACGGTTTGTCTAGTCACTCACCTGAAATCAGACCTTTGCTGACCCCAGCAGAGGCTGAGGGTGTCCCACAACAAGACTGTAATTCAAAGGTGGAAGATGAAGGTGTAATTTCATGTTATGCTAACCTACAGGTACCAGAGCAATAAGAACCAGGTTGTAAAAGTCTAATTCAGTGCTAACACCCTCTGAATTTTAGTTGTCTTTAATTTAGTGCTAGAAGCCATCAATTTTACTTCAAGACTAATGTTAGCTGAAGCTAGCTTTGATGTGCTGGGACCTCCTGTTTAGTGTCTGTCTATCACTGTTCACTGGCAGCACCCAGTGTACGATTGGCCTTCAACTTGTCAATCAGAACTTACTAAGACAAATGTGTCACTTGTGACTTGTGTGAATATAAAGGAAATAGTTTTCAAACTCTAGCTGGCATTAAGCATGTTGTTTTTTGGGTACTCACGGCCGTTCCTTCCCCCCAGTGACGATGAGTCCATCCCTCAGGGTTGTGTACATGGTGAAGACGGGACCACTGTGCGCCTTTGCCACCACTCGTACCAGGAAGTGTTCCCTCCATACATACACGTCTCCATTTATAGCGCCAGTGAATGTCAGGTTGTTCTGGAGGAGACAAACACTGATTTACAACAAATCCATAAAACACTACAGATTTATAATTCCTTTTTAAAAGGTGAGTCAGAACTAGTTTATCTTACAGCACCAAAGGCAACAGACAGCATGGTCTGCATGCGGCCGTCCTCCACAGAGCCAATCACTCCCTTCTTGTACACGAGCGAACCTCCAACCAGAGTCCAGAACTTGATATGTTTGATTCCCACCGACACAAACTGGGTGTCAGAGTCCGGTCTGAACTCCACCACGAATATCCGCTCAGCATGGCCACCTTTACTGGTCACCTTGGTGCCTGGCAGAGAGGGCAGAGGTCACTTTTCAAGTGGAAATCTCTCTATGGTCCCACATTGTGATGGACGACTGGGTCAGAGCATCTGTGTTCCCGGTCTGCAGTGGTCATAATGTTATGGCTGGTGTATGTATCAAGGCTTTTTTGGTGCTGTCTTTCTGCCCCTTAGTGGTCACCAGTTGATTAAGCTCACCTGGTCCCTTAGGCTATAAAAGCTGTGTCGGCTCTGATTTTGACAGGAAATAAATTGGTTCTGAACCTGAAAAGTTGGTTCCCAATATCTTGTGTAGACTTATTTTGTCATATCCTCCTAGTTTGATTGTTGTATGACCCATCTTGCCCTTAGTGTTATTATCCTTACCTTCCTCAGGTACTTAAGTCACACTCCTCACCTGTAGTCATCACCTAAATCCCTACAAAGCTAAAATGATACTACTGCACCACATTAGCTTGTTTAAGACGCTAAGTGATTGGATAATATTAATGTTTGTACCTTCCTGCCACCTCCACACTGTGATGGTGTGTTCAGGCTCCACTCCAACAGAGAGCAGCAGCTTTCCTGTAGCGCTGAAGTTGACGTAGCCGACACCTTTAGCGTGGGAACATCGGAGGATGGAAAGGGTCTGCTTGGTCATGGCATCCCACACATGAATGGATGGAGCAAGACCTGTGAGAAGAGAGCAGAACCTAAGGTACTAAGGTAACCCAATAATCAAGGAAACAAAGGACCAAGGAGCTAAGCCACTGAGCAGCCAAGGACCCTAGTATCCAAGGACCTAAATCATTAAATTGAGGAACCATAAAACCAAGGAACCTAAAACCAAAGTATCAAGGAACCAAGGATGAGGAACTGTGGTACCAAGGACCAAAGGCATTAAGGTGGCCAAGGAACCATGAACCCAAAGGACCAAGGAACTAAGGTGTTGAACATCTAATAGGCTTAGCATCCTTGCAACTGTTGAACCAAGGATTTATTTAACAGGAGCAAGAGAACAGAACTTGTCAGGATAAGTTGAACCACCATACAAGGCAAGGCTTTAAGGAACCAAAGGGCCGACAAGGAACCTGGGGAACCTAAAATTGCCACGAAAGGAAGTAAGTAAAACACCAAGGAATGAAGGAACCAATGGAGCGAGGAGGTGAGGAACCAATGTACTAAGGGAGAAAAGAAACCAAAGGAACCAAGGAGTGGAGGTCAGGCAGAACAGGCTAAGATTCAGGAGATGAGGGGGTGATAGGCAGGTAGGCGACCACTGATTAGACGTCCTCTTTTAAAGGATCATTCTCTACTTTCATATTGTACTGGAGTAGGATGGGGTAAGCGTTGGGGAAATCAAAACAGCTTCGGTTTACTCCATCCTGTATTCACAAATTTACAGCAAACACTATTGACACCTTTGTCCATGATCACATAGGACTCCTTTCTTCTGAAGTCTAAAGTCGGCACAAATCGAGATGGGTCATGTTTTGAGTTGAGTTGTTGCAAAACGAATCAAATCTGAACCACAGGTCACATATTTCAAGAATTTAAGAGTAGGAAATGGGGTAAACCAAACTAATAAAATGACCACACAAAAGGAGACAGGAACAAAGTAGTGCTGCCCCCTAACAGTCAACTAAATTGTTAGTGAATGAGAAGAGTCGACACGCTTTCATTAGCCGGATTGACGCAGAAAAACAAAAACATCAAACTCTACGCAAAAAGTCTACCAGGATTTGTTTCAGTGAAGTTGGAAGTTATTTATTCCGTGTTTTGAACAAGCAGATTGTGTGATGTTACACTGTGTTGGAATAAATTAACTAAATGTTCAGTCTCCTTGCTGGTTGTTCTGACACACAGGCGGCTGTTCAAATATAAAGACTGTAATTCCAAACTGCATTTTAGGCCCCAAATGAATTAGAACTAAATATGTTTTCATTAGGGTCTGTTTTTTAGATTCCACAACATTTCTACACTGATGACACAGCTGTATTTATCATAAAATCAAGGTAAAGTTCATGCTGTTCATTCTCCTTTGTTTAAAGGACTTTGAAATATGTCTGTAAACATGCAAAAAAAACTTGAGTCATCTTTAATTTAGATTTTTAAAGCATTAGTGCTTTAAATATCAAAATTAAAGATGACAAGTCATTCCATGTTCCCAATCAAAGTACAAATGTGATTAAACTTTTGACACCACCACTCCCAGAACAGTGTACACCTCGTTGTTATTGTTTTACGTCCAGCCTGATTAGCATTATTTGATTGTTACTCGATTGTTACTTTCTCTGTAAAGCATTTGGTGAAATCTGTCCAGTACATGTCCTGCCCTTTACTGAAGTGTTGGACAGGAAGTCCTATATGATCATGGCTGTAGAGGGTTATTAAAACAAGATCACTGCATTCTGTCGAGCAGATAAGGAACAGTCATGCCTGATATTCATGCCCCGATATCCTCTGCATCAATACAACAGATCCAGGTCCAGCTACTATAAGAACTTTTGTGCAAAAGCAGCCTTTCAATCACAGTCTTACCACGAACAGTACAGACACCACATACAGTAACCACCCAGGCTAGTTGGGCTAGTGTAACATGCTGATAAGAGGCGCTAAGCAAGGCTTTGTTCTGAGTCCGACTTGCTTTAGTTTCTCTACTGCCATGCTCCCACTAATGTGGAGAAATTTCAGTTTTCCATCCACACAAATGTTTTCAGATTGTTTTCTACTTCCTGTGTCCACACTTTAAAAAACAACAGATAAAAGACTGAATCATCTTCTTCATCTTTCCTCCTTAATGGTGGCTGGCCAATGACAAGAGTGAAGGTTGATACTTTTCACCAATTAATCTTAAAGGTCAAGTGTGAAGGAATTAGTGGCATCAAGTGGTAAAGTTCCAGATTGCAACTCACTGACAAATCGCTCTCCTTCCAAGTGTGTAGAAGGAACTACAGTGGCAGACCGTGATAAATGTTAAAGTCTCTCTCTAGATCCAGTGTTTGGTTTGTTCGTTCTGGGCTACTATAGAAACATGAGGTTCAACATGGCGGACACTGCTAGAAGGCAGAAAAACATTTTCTCATTCTAAGGTAACAAAAACACAATTATTCTTAGATTCAGGCGATTAAACACTAATGAAAACATAATTTGAATATTATATTACAGTAATGTGACACACGGGAGCTAAATCCAGTGCAGTGAAATTATTTCCACCGACTCCCAAAACAAAACAACTTGTTTCAGGCCCATCAGTATAATTAAACCTAAACACTTAAACAACATCTTGGAATAAGTTAATTTGTATTAGAAACTTATAGCATCTCAATGCACTGGTTTTCATTTAAGGACTCAATAAAAATGATAGATTTTTTTTCAAGTTGGTGACATAAAGTGTCACTGGTTTAGTGTGAATGGATTGTGTTTTCATCTTAATCCACATTAGTGTAGACATGGTCTCTGACAGACAGTGGTTGGGGGGTCGAGCTACAAACAGAACAACTAGAGCAGACCTGAACACGGTTCTGACTGATGATACTCACCAGACACTTCAGCCTCTACACACCGAGAGCGAACAACACCAACAGGTTAAACACTGTGTTCTCCACATGAATGTAAACAGAATGATGTGTGTGAATGGATCAGTGACGAGTGACAGCAGAAGGTGGGCAGGGTCTTACCTGGCAGGTCAGTGATGTCACCTGGTGGTGAGGTGAGGGGGTGACAATGAGGAAGCAGTGGAAAAGAAAATAAGTGCAATGGGCAAAAAGCAGCAAGTCATGCACGAAAACAACCTGGTGATCAATATTAAACTCTGCTACCCAATTACAAAGCTGAATGTTTATGTAGAATGTGTCTGGAAACAGGATTTTAATACAGTAATTTTGTGTCTCTTTGTAGTTATTTTGTTCAATTCTAGTTGCTTTGCTTCAAACTGTGCTCCGTCCCAGGGGCCCCCCGACCCCTCAGGCCCTTGGGCCCAGTAGTAATCCATGTATGCATGTGGGCAACAAGTGTTTTAAAGAAAGCATCAAAATGTGTCCAACTGAAACCACATTTAGTGATCAGTTTTGTGCAGTCAGGGTGATTTACAGATTGATGTTGACGTTTTGGTGCTAATTCAAGAAGCTAGCAGGAACTCACAGTTTGGTCTCATTTGGACTTTAACGTGAGCTCAGACACGCCTGAGTTGACTTTCTGCTCGAGGACTCACCGATCTGTCCTGTCGCGATGATGTTTTGGTATTTTGGGTGTTGATTGACAGTCAGACAGAGGATGTCGTCGGTGTGTTCCAGGTAGAACGTTTGGGTTCCTGTCAGGACAGGAAGCAGGAAGTGTGATGTCATCATCAAAGGCAACAACATATAAAGGTAGAAGCTGAGAGTTACACTGACCGGCGGACAGGCTCTGGATGACCACAGCAGCAGCGGTGTGGAAGATGATGTCAGCACCGTCGTTGAGATAATGCAGGTTGTTGCGACAGTCAAAGCCTCTGTAGCCAAAGACGTGCTCCAGAACCAGCTCCTGAAAACCGAACAGGACAGAGGAGATACCAGCAGTTGTTTAAGGTGAAGTCATGTGTCAGTGCGCTGATGGTGGAGGCTCCTACTGACCTCCACCACTTTCTTCTTCTTGGTCATGTTGTTCCTCAGCAGTTTGTCAGGCAGTGGTGCAGCTCGACTCACAGGAGGCCTGAACGGGAAACAAGTTCAGATAACATCAGTGTACTGTGTTTCTGTGTGTGTGTGTGTGTGGGTGTGTGTCGGGTCGCGGTACCTCTCCTCCACAGGAAGCTCTTTGTGCTGCAGGTGAGGTCTGGTTCCTGACATGTTCCTGATGCTAGCAGAGTAGATCTTGGTGACGTAGTCCACCACCTTCTCTTGGGCCACATCGCTGTCATACCCTGGAAACACAACGAGTCCATGACACAACCGTTACCCTGAGAACAGAACCACTGAATCAGTCCGTTAATGCAAACCACACTACCTTCCTGTAAGTCCCACCAATCACAGCAGCCCACACAAAGCATTGAGCCACAAGTCACCAAACTAAGAGATTTATTCTCACTGGAACCGGAAGTTGCCTTTGATTTTCAATTAATTATACAAAAACTATTTTTGCAATTTTAACTTCCTCCTGCAATTTCACACAAATCAAACATTTTGTCGAGGCCTCCAACTGGTGTAATTACTTGTCCTGCCTGTGTTTGGACCAATCAGCAGCCTCCTCAGCTGCAGTTCCTCTAATGTCCACCAGACGGCGCTGTGATTTAACTGTACTGAAGTGAACGTGAAAAACTCCAACTTAGACTTTCAGAATAAAAGCACACGCTGTCCTTCTGTTGTTGGCGTTACCTCCGTCCTCCTCGGTGTCATCGTCCGACTCCTCGCTGTCCACAGCTTTGCTCTCTTTGTGGCCCGGCGGCTCTCTGGTCCAGATCATGAGCGCCGTGTCAGCCCCGCCCACTGACAGCAGCAGGGAGTCGTCATTCGACCAGCGGACGTTCGTCACGTTGGTGCTGTGACCAACGTACTTCTTATACTTAGCAAACTGGCCCTGAAGTCAGTTGGACAGAGAATGATCAACGTGTGAAGATGTGAAATAAAATAAAATGTACATTCATCCCAACAACATATTAATCAGGTTGTAATGTTTCCTCAGGACAAACCATCCTCTCTGAACATCTGTGGGATTACATTTAAGATCCTCACCCTGGACGGGAAGCTGAACAGTTTCAGGAAGCCAAAGTCGTCTCCAGTGGCAAGCAGTTTGCGATCATTGGTGAGCGAGGCGGCGTTGACGAAGCTGAGCGTCGGCCATATTCCCTCACAGGTCGGACCCAGAACGGACGTCCAGCTCGCCCAGTCCAGCTTCTCAAACTGGAAACACACAAACAAACAAATGTGTCTACTCGGAAACACCCCGACGATCCCGGGACCCTAAAGACGTTAACGCAGGCTGACCTCGGCCATGCTGATGTTCTGTTTGCGTCCTCGAGGAGCCTCAAAGAAAAGCTGCTCTTTGGCTCCGGTGTTCACCTGCAGCAGTTTACCTGTCGACACAAACACGTAACATGTTGTGAGCCTCTCCTGCTAACATTTAGCGTAGCAGCGGTACAGGTGAGTATGTGTTTACCTCTGGAGTCCCAGTCGATGTGCGTGATGTAGCTGCCAGCTCCTTTACAGATACCAACTCTCTTACTGGTCAGGACGTTGTAGATGTCCACGAAGGAATCATGGGACGCCACGGCCAGGTACTTCCCTGCATCTGAAACACACAGCGCACTGACTCACCGTCCACTGAACCGATCACCTTTATCTTGTGTCATACCTGTGTGGGGTGTAGTCATTATGCATCAGTCGTTGTGAGTCTCTATGTAGTTGTTTTGAGTCTCTTTGTAGTCATTTATGAGTCTCTTTGTAGTTGTTTTTGAGTCTCTATGTAGTTGTTTTTGAGTCTCTTTGTAGTCGTTGTGAGTCTCTATGTAGTTGTTTTTGAGTCCCTATGTAGTTGTTGTTTAGTCTCTATGTAGTCGTTGTGAGTCTCTATGTAGTCGTTTTTGAGTCTCTTTGTAGTTGTTTTTGAGTCTCTATGTAGTTATTTTTGAGTCTCTTTGTAGTTGTTTTGAGTCTCTTTGTAGTTGTTTTTGAGTCTCTATGTAGTTATTTTTGAGTCTATGTAGTTGTTTTGAGTCTCTTTGTAGTTGTTTTTGAGTCTCTATGTAGTTATTTTTGAGTCTATGTAGTTGTTTTGAGTCTCTTTGTAGTTGTTTTTGAGTCTCTATGTAGTTATTTTTGAGTCTATGTAGTTGTTTTGAGTCTCTTTGTAGTTGTTTTGAGTCTCTTTGTAGTTGTTTTTGAGTCTCTATGTAGTTATTTTTGAGTCTATGTAGTTGTTTTGAGTCTCTTTGTAGTTGTTTTGAGTCTCTTTGTAGTTGTTTTGAGTCTCTTTGTAGTTGTTTTTGTGCGTGCAGGTACCTTGGGAAAAGCGGATGTCTGAGATGAGCTCCTTGCGGTGGTGGAAGGTCACCATGTCCTCCAGCGTGTCGGCGTTCACCACCAGGAAGCTACCATCGTTCAGACCGACCGCCAGAGCTTTTCCATCAGGAGAGAAAGCACAGCACCGCCCACCTGACAGGTAAAACACACACACACACACACACACACACACACACACACACACACACACACAGGTATAAACACACAACAGTGTGTAAAATAACAGGATGGAGGTCTTCATATTTCCTCCCTCTCACCCTTCTTGAGTTTGCGGACGGCGACCATGCGGTGATTGGCCGAGAGCTCCCAGATCCTCAGAGTTTTGTCATCACTGACGGTGGCGCAGACAGGAAGTAAAGGGTGAGCTGCCAAACCCCACACCTCCCCCTCCATGTGACCCTGAACGCAACATACACCTGTTAACATTTATTCCTTCATACTTGTGATATTTCTGCGTCTGGTTGTCTGACCTGAACCAGCAGCGTCATCGGTCCACTCTTGTCGATCTCCAGGATTTCTCCGTTCTTTGTTCCCAACAAGATGTGACCATGACCCAGAGTGATCGCTCTGATCGACGGGTTGTCCTCCAGCAGCAGGCCTGCAGACAGGCAGTCAGACAGACAGACAAGCAGTCAGACAGACAGAGAGAAAGACAGGCAGTCAGACAGACAGACAGATAGACAGACAAGCAGACAGAAAGACAGGCAGACAGAAAGACAGACAGGCAGTCAGACAGACAGGCAGACAGACAAACAGAGACCAACGGACAGACAGACAGTCAGACAGGCAGGCAGACAGACAGGCAGTCAGACAGACAGAGAGACAGACAGGCAGTCAGATAGACAGACAGTGATAATGTGGTGTGATAATATAATAATGTGATAATGTGATAATATGATAATGTGATATGATAATAATGTAATAATGTGATAATGTGATAATGTGATCATATGATAATGTGATATGATAATGTGATAAGATGATAATATGATAATGTCATAATATAATGTGATAATATGATAATGTGATAATATAATAATGTAATAATGTGATAATATGATAATGTGATAATATAATAATGTGATAAGATGATATTATGAAAATGTGATAATATATGATAATGTGATAATATGATATGAAAATATGATAATATGATAATGTGATGATAGAATAATGTGATAATATGATAATGTGATAATATGATAATGTGATAATGATAAAATATTACAATAATATGATATGATAATATAATAATGTGATGATATAATAATGTGATAATATGATGTCATAATATAATGTGATAATATGATAATATAATAATGTGATAATATAATAATGTGATAATATAATAATGAGATAATATGATAATGTGATAATATAATAATGTGATATGATAATTTGATAATATAATAATGTGATAATGTGATATAATAATGTAATGTGATAATGTGAGAATATATAATGTGAAAATATAATAATGTGAATATGATAATATAATGTGATAATGTGATAATATGATATGATAATGTGATAATATAATAATGTAATAATGTGATAATATGATAATATGAAAATGTGATAATATGATATGATAATGTGATAATATAATAATGTAATAATGTGATAATATGATAATATGAAAATGTGATAATATGATATGATAATATGATAATGTGATAATATAATAATGTGATAACATGATGTGATAATAGGATAATGTGATATGATAATAATGTGATATGATAATGTGATAACATGATGTGATTATGTGATAATATGATAATGTAATAATATAATAATGTGATAATGTAATATATGATAATATGATGTGATAATATGATAATGATAATGTGATAATGTGATAACATGATGTGATAATGTGATAATGTAATATATGATAATATGATAATGTGATAACATAATAATGTGATAATATAATACAATAATGTGATAATGTAATAATGTAATAATGTGATAATATGATAATGTGATAATATGATAATGTGATAATATGATTAACATTTTGTTTGCAGTGTGGTAATGGACGTACAAACTAAACACAGGACTTTCACTCAGGAGAACGGATGTAAGTTCTGATCTTAACCTAACTGCAAGTGTTTCACTACATTAACCATGTAAGCTTATTTTTGAAAGTCTAACGCGATGTTATATTATTGCTAACTTGCATCATCCTTTATCACGTCTTTGAGTCCTCGCAGACATCGTATGAACTGATAAGTGACAGAAGAGCTGAAACCTTTGGATGACGGAGAGAGAGCGGCTCTCTTGATGGCGTACGTCTTCAAACATCTCTCAAACATGTCGTCCCAGAGCTCCACGATGCCATCCTTCCCACCCGTCACAAAACCCTGGTCAGTGAACGCAACATGGCAAACAAAAGAAAAACCTTCAGTTTACTTTATGTTTCATAATCTACAACATCGACATCTAGAAACTCTGATGTTTCACATTATGGAAGTCCAAAGTTACCAAAAATACTTTACCTGGAAGACATTATGAAACATTATGATTTCCTTCTGTATTTGGTGATATTACAACTTATTTAATACATTTAGTACTTATTTTATATATATATATATATATACAGTATAAGTATAACTATATTACATATTTTATCTGGTTAAATCTGGATCTGGACAATCGGGACAGTTGGTGTGATACGGTTCCTGAGACCATCTCATCTGTGATGGATGTCACAGTGAATGATGGCTGACGATGAACCAGGTGCTCCAGGTGTTACCTTGTCCAGGGAGCACATGGCGAACACGGGGCCGTCGTGGGCTTTGATGGTCTTGACGAGAGTTGTGTCTCTCCAGATGTAAACGTCTCCATTGGTGGCTCCGGAGAAGACCAGGTCCTCTGATCGACCGTAACTCGCCGACATCATCGTTTCCTGCTTCCCCAGGTTCCCAAAAATCCCCCGTTTAAACGTCAGACCGCCACCTGCAGGAGGACATCACCATTATCGTTGGAACAGATCAATAATAATTACGCTGATATAATCAGATTTTTGCTGTTGAACTGAGCTCAGGTGTGTTTCAGGTGAATTCGAGGATTTACCTGAATGTTGCCAGAACTTGATGTGTTTCATGCCGACAGTCACCAGTTTGTCCACCCTGAACGGGTTACTCTTCACCACAAAGATCTTGTCTTTATGACCCCTGCAGGACACAGTGCAGTTACCAAAGGTCATTTCAAATAGAGACCCAGAGGTTAAAGGTCAAAGGATCAGTCTGCCTAAAACAGCTAACATTAGCATCAGCTGACTCTTTAAAGCTGGAATAATGATCACAGTTTCATTAACACATAAAATGTGAACACACTGATTAATGAGGAGCTCCTCAGGTGTGTTTACCTGGCCTTGGCCAATCTCTCTCCTTTCTTCCAGTCCCAGATCACGATGGAGTGAAACTCATCGATTCCCACAGAGATCAAGCTCTTCCCGTCCACTGAGACAGACAGAGAGACAATAACAGACTAATAACAGACTATATAACGGACAAATAATAGACTATATAACAGACTAATAACAGACTATATAACGGACTAATAATAGACTAATAACAGACTAATAATAGACTAATAACGGACTATATAACGAACTATACAACGGACTATACAATGGACTAATAACAGACTATATAACAAACTAATAATAGACTATATAACAGACTAATAACAGACTATATAACGAACTAATAATAGACTATATAACAGACTAATAACAGACTATATAACGAACTAATAATAGACTATATAACAGACTAATAACACTATATAACAGACTAATAACGGACTATACAACGGACTATACAATGGACTAATAACAGACTATATAACGGACTATATAACGGACTATATAACAGACTACTAACAGACTAATAACAGACTATATAACGAACTCATAATAGACTATATAACGAACTAATAATAGACTATATAACAGACTAATAACGGACTATACAATGGACTAATAACAGACTATATAACGGACTATATAACAGACTAATAATAGACTAATAACGGACTATAAAACAGACTAATAACAGACTAATAATAGACTAATAACGGACTATAAAACAGACTAATAATAGACTAATAACGGACTATATAACGGACTATACAACGGACTATACAATGGACTAATAACAGACTATATAACGAACTAATAATAGACTATATAACTGACTAATAACAGACTATATAACAAACTAATAATAGACTATATAACAGACTAATAACGGACTATACAATGGACTAATAACAGACTATATAACGAACTAATAATAGACTATATAACAGACTATATAACGGACTATACAATGGACTAATAACAGACTATATAACGGACTATATAACAGACTACTAACAGACTATATAACGAACTAATAATAGACTATATAACAAACTAATAATAGACTATATAACAGACTAATAACAGACTATATAACAGACTAATAACGGACTATACAACGGACTATACAATGGACTAATAACAGACTATATAACAGACTATATAACAGACTAATAACAGACTAATAATAGACTAATAATGGACTAATAACGGACTATATAACGGACTATATAACGGACTATACAACGGACTAATAACAGACTATATAACGAACTAATAATAGACTATACAACAGACTATATAACGGACTATACAATGGACTAATAACAGACTATATAACGAACTAATAATAGACTAATAACAGACTATATAACAGACTAATAACGGACTATACAATGGACTAATAACAGACTATATAACGAACTATTAATAGACTATATAACAGACTATATAACGGACTATACAATGGACTAATAACAGACTATATAACAAACTATTAATAGACTATATAACAGACTATATAACGGACTATACAATGGACTAATAACAGACTATATAACGAACTATTAATAGACTATATAACAGACTATATAACGGACTATACAGTGGACTAATAACAGACTATATAACGGACTATATAACAGACTAATAACAGTCCAGACTAATAACGACCTAATAACAGACTAATACCAGACTAATAACGGACTAATAACGGACTATATAACAGATTAATAACAGACTAATAACAGACTATATAATGGACTATATAACGGACTGATAACGGACTAATAACAGACTAATAACAGACCAATAACAGACCAATAACAGACCAATAACAGACCAATAACAGACTAATGACGGTACCTGTGAACTCCAGAGCACACACTCCTCTGCTATGGTGTCCCTTGAGTAGCGACAGACACTTCAGAGTCTGGATGTCCCAGACGTGGACGGCCGGGTCTCTGCCCACCTGAATACACAGACAGCCAATCAGAAACACACTCAGTCAGCCTGACGGTAGCACGCTGCATTCCGATTGGCCGGGCGTACCTGTGCGGAGGCCACGTAGTCTTTGAGCGGGTGGACGGCTAGGCTCAGGATGTCGTCGTCGTGGCCGAGGTAGAACCTCTGACTGTGCTGCAGCCGGTTGTAGACGACGGCTACGGCGGCCACGTGATACACCACCTCCCCGGCCTGACTGTAGAACAGGTTGTTCCGACAGTCGAAGCCCCGGTACCTGCAGGAAACAGGGAACAAGACCGCCACAGTAAAGGTCACTTCAGCAGCAGCATCATTCATAACTTTACGGATTGTTGTTTGTACCCGTGGACAAACTGCAGCCGAAGACACTCCTCTGGAGCTTTCTGCCGCTTCAAGGAACCAATCAGCTTCTTCCGCAGCTGAGGCAGGTCCTCCTTATACACCTGCAGACAGAGGCAGGTGAGTCAGACAGGCAGACAGACAGACAGACAGACAGACAGACAGACAGGTAATGTACAGGTTTATTGTTTGGTCACCTGACGTTCGTAGCTGGTCTGAGCTTCCTGCTCGATGTCTGAGTCGAGCTCCGGGACGTCCGACACGTCCGAGTCCGACTCTCCACTGTTGGAGTCAGCATAACCCTCTGAAGACCCCGAACAGACTTTATCAATAAGCTTTTTAACTGGAAATGTATCTCACTAACTCTTAAACCAACAGCAAGGCAGAGTTTGGAGATGATTGGATAATGGTGTGTAAGAGTATGTGTATGTTAAGTTCACTGAGGGATAATGTACAGGTTGTGATTCGGGGATAATGTACAGGTTGTGATTCGGGGATAACAATGGTGATTTATGAGAGACATTAAAGGTATTTACAGATGCTAAATTAAGGATAACAAATGATGTGGTGACAGAAGGCGAGTTAGGATTTACAGGAGATGCCACACACAACATTTAATCAGAATCCAACAAATAACTGATTTTAGGGAATCCAGTCTAGTCTATGGCAGAGATGTTCACAAGTCTTTTTTTGCAAGTCCAAGTCAAGTCTGATTTCTTTGGTCACAAGTCCAAGTCAAGTCTCAAGTCTCTAAAAAATAAAAGTCATATGTCTCTTCTGGTTGTAATGAGCCTTATGTCATCTGCTGCTATCCGGTATGTTACTCTGGGACTTCTGTATGTGACAAATAAAGTAATCTTGTAAATCTAACATTATTAGTCATGCAATAATAACTAATCATCCAATCTCAGTTATAGTTAGCTATATCTGCTGGACACAAAATTAACACCATTAAGGTGCTGGTAAATCATGCAAGCGGCTGGTACTGTATGCTGCACTCACCAGCCAAAATAACAATGGTAATCTATTGAGTGGCTGGTAAAATTTCAACATTCACTAGTCTAGCCATTTTGCCAGTGGACAAAAAAGTTAAAGGTTTGCACTCTGCAACCGTACTGTTTATTACACTGGGTCTCTAATGACACATTCCTCTATCCTCTCACTCAAACTCAGTGTAATGGTAACCTGGTAAACCTGTAACATTAACGTTTCGTGGTCAACAATTAACCTGTAACCTGCCTGTAAGCCGACAGTATAACTATGTATTTTTCTACGGTTAGCGTTAGCCAGTAGATGGTGGCAACGTAGATGATTAACGTTACGGTTTTTTTTTTTACGTCATGTCAACGCCACTCAATGCAAACAAGTTCGACAAGCAAACTAACATTCACTCATCTATTCAAATATTCAGTTACAAAGCTAGTAGCAAGCTAAGTGAACGTTACATAGCTGATGCTGAGCTAACCGTCCATAAGCTCTAATGTGACTGAGCTATCCGGGTGAGTTTTCAGGTGCCTGATAAAATTTGATGTGGTGGATCCAGCATCCTTGATTCGGGTACTGCAGACTTTGCAGTCAGCGCTCCTTTTGTTGGTGCTGTCCTGTTTGAAGTTTTATAACCAAATGTAATCACAAAGGCGCGCACCCAATGTGTAATATGGTTACCATGGTTACCATGAAAAAAAGGAAGGAATCACATTAAGCTCGTCAGACGTTTCAGAGTTTCCTCAATATTAATACGCCAAAAAAGAAAACATAATGATTGTTCACGAGTCCCAAAACACGAGTCCAAGTCAAGTCTGAAGTCTCTGTGTGCGACTTAAGTGCGACTCGAGTTTGAGTCGCAAACTTTAGTCTCCATCTCTGGTCTATGGTTAGGTTCTGGTGGACCCACATTGAGACTGAGCTGGATCAGCTGTTTGTGTTATCTGGGATAAATTCTGAAGTAGTAAATCTTGGTGCTACCTTGAAGGAGGGGCTCCAGGACGCCATTCATGACACCCTCTGGCAGGAACCTCCACTGGAAGACAGCGTGGTCAGCGCCGCCGGTGCTGACGACCCACTGCAGGTCGTTGGACCAGCGGACATTCGTCACATGGGCAGAGTGACCAATGTACTTCTTGAATTTGGCTCCTGTTTGAGGAAGAAGCAGCATCGTTTATAAAAACAGTGATTCTGGAATATTTAAGAACATTATAAATACATAAAACTTAAAGAAACAACACCCTGTGGTTACTGATGCATCAGAAAGTACTTCCACACACTCAATGGAAAAGGTTGATGCGTCTGAATGTTTGTCGGCAAACCTTTCTTGAGGCAGGGGAACCTGAAGAGTTTGACAAGCCCGAGGTCGTCTCCAGTCACCAGCACAGCGCTACTGTAGTTGGCGTCCACAGAGTTCACGTTAGTGATGCTTGAGTATTTGGGCCAGATGCCGTTTACTTCTGTCCCGACAACACCTGTCCACGTCATCCAGTGGATCCCCTTCGCCTCCTCTTTAGGAACTAGCTTCCCTGCTGTAGAAGGAGGAGGTCAAAGGGTCAGGGGTTGGTCAAGTTATATCCCAAAGTCCTACCATCAGTCTGGGACAATAATATCAAATAGTTTGAGACTCAGTCGGTACCTGGCATTCTGTAGAAGAGCCGCTCTCCGGCGCCGTCGTTGGTCAGCAGGAAGCGGCTGTCGACCGACCAGTCCAGGTGGGTGATGAAGGAAGTGGAGCGGCTGCACTCGCCCACCTTCTTGTATCGCTGGGCGACGGCATAGACGTCCACAAGCCCATCGTTTGATCCTACCGCCAAGAAGGAACCGTCCGGTGAAAACTTGAGCTCATGAATCACCTCCTTCCTGTCCTTGATGTGCACGACCTCAGTCATGTCCCTGAAGACAAAGCTCTGTTATATAATATATATATATAAAATATAATAATCTTAATCTGAGGTACTGAAAAAATGTTAATTATTAATAAAAACACAGAAATTTGCTTCCTGGATTAGCTACTAAAGCTAACTGCATCATGGTGTTAGATCACAGTTATAACGTAGATGGATGAACCAGCTTCCTAGCAGCGCCCCCCTGAGGTCACCTGACACGCAGCACGGTGAAGGATCCGTCCTTCATGCCCAGAGCAAGCTGAGATCCGTCGTTGTTGAAGGAAACGCTGCGGACAGATTCCTCCATGTTACAGCGAGCCAGCAGAGTGTGGTCAGGAAGACTCCACAGCCTGAGAGACAGATAGAGGAGAGACAGACAGGTTAGAAGGTATATGCAGCAGCCAGGCAAAGCATCGGTGGTGTCAGTGGCTCGGACTGACCTGACGGAGCGGTCGTCGCTCCCGGTGACGGCAACCGGCTGTTTGGGGTGAAGGTCCAGTGCCCACAGCTCGCCCTCGCTGTGACCCTGCATCAATAGAACCGGTTTGTCCCGGTCTCGAACCATGACCTCGAAGATCTCGCTGTCTTGCGTTCCCGCCAGGATCCGGTCGGCCTTCCAGCAAACACTGCGGATCGACAGACCTGAAAGCACAACTGACATTTCTAAAGGATCAAAGTTTAAACAGCAAGTACAATATTTATTTTATTTTATTAGTTTCTTAATCTGCTGCTTATAAATCAACCGGTTGTTTAGCCTGAAAATGTATATTATAAATATTATAAAATATATAAATATTATAAATATTATAATATATAAATATGATACCTCTTATAAAATATATAAATATGATAAAAGATATATAAATATATAAATATTCTGAAATATATAAAATATATAAATATAAAATATTATAAATACAGACACACAGACAGACACAGATACAGACACAGACACACACACACACACAGACACACACACACACACACAGACAGACACACAGACACAGACACATACACACACACACACACAGACCTTTGTATCCCTGCTCAGCCTCCCTCAGGTCAATCTTGGTGATGGGTTTAAAGTCGACGTCCCACAGTCGGATGCAGCCGTCTCGTCCTCCTGTAGCGAATCCTTCCTCACAAGAATGCATGCTGAAGATCCCCGCCTGAACAAACGTTATATATCATATATTATATTCATATTATATATATAATATAAATGTAATTTATATTATAAATGTAATTTATATTATATATATATATATATATATATATATATAAAGACACTTCACATAAGTTATATAGAGAGTTTGTGTGTCTGTGTGTCTGTGTCTGTGTGTGTCTGTGTGTGTGTGTGTGTGTGTGTGTGTCTGTGTGTGTGTGTGTCTGTGTGTGTGTGTCTGTGAGTGTGTGTCTGTGTGTGTGTGTGTCTGTGTGTGTGTGTGTGTCTGTGTGAGTGTGTTTGTGTGTGTGTGTGTCTGTGTGTGTGTGTCTGCGTGAGTGTGTCTGTGTGTGTGTGTGTGTGTGTGTGTGTATATATAGTGTGTGTGTGTCTGTGTGTGTACCCCATGTGCAGCCTGTACAGTCCTGATCAGACTGATTCCTCTCCAAACGTAAACGTCTCCATTTAAAGCTCCAGAGTACGTCAGCTCGTCTTTGGCAGCAGAAACACACAGGATGGTCTGAAGGTCTCCGGTCTTCCCAAAGATTCCTCTCTTTGGAGTCAGAGAGTTCCCACACAGGGTCCAGAACTACAGACACAGGATGTATATATATTAGCATCATCTTCAGCATCATATATGAACTGTTTACTACATTAGTCTGACAGCTGTACTTTACATTGTTGCACATTAAACAACCCAATAGTTTAATCAATCAGTCAACTAATACTGAGCAATCAATGGCTTCATGGAGGAAATCATCTGCAGATGAATCAATAATGCAAACAGTAAACTCCTTAATATTAATAATAATATACTAATCATACTGTTATAATAGTATATTAATATTTCCTCCATAATGATCATCAACATTTAAACTGAAACATCTCCAAAGCTTCAGCAACAGAACTTCCTGTCTCACCTTGATGTGTTTGACTCCACAGCTGACCAGACGGATGGACTGGAACGGATCCCAGGCCACATCAAAGATCTGCAGGGACAGAGGGAAGTCAGAAACTGGGGAGGAACTGTGGAGGAACTGGGGAGGAACTGTGGAGGTACTGGGGGGAAACTGTAGAGGAACTGAGGAGGTACTGAGGAGGAACTGGGGGAGGAACTGGGGGAGGAACTGTGGAGGAACTGGGGGGGAAACTGGGGAGGAACTGTGGAGGTACTAGGGGGAAACTGTAGAGGAACTGAGGAGGTACTGGGGGAGGAACTGGGGGAGGAACTGGGGAGGAACTGTGGAGGAACTGGGGGGAGAACTGGGGAGGAACTGAGGAGGAACTAGGGGAAGAACTGTGGAGGAACTGAGGAGGAACTGAGGAGGAACTAGGGGAAGAACTGTGGAGGAACTGAGGAGGAACTGGCGGGGAAACTGGGGGAGGAACAGTGGAGGAATAGCGGAGGAACTGAGGAGGAACTGAGGAGGAACTGAGGAGGAACTGGGGGGAGGAACTAGGGGAGGAACTGAGGAGGAACTGGGGTAGGAACTGAGGAGGAACTGGGGGCTAAACTGGGGGAGGAACAGTGGAGGAACAGTGGAGGAACTGAGGAAGAACTGGGGGGAGGAACTGGGGAGGAACTGAGGAGGAACTGAGGAGGAACTGGGGGGGAAACTGGGGGAGGAACTGAGGAGGAACTAGGGGAAGAACAGTGGAGGAACTGAGGAGGAACTGGGGGGGAAACTGGGGGAGGAACAGTGGAGGAACAGTGGAGGAACAGCGGAGGAACTGAGGAGGAACTGAGGAGGAACTGGGGGAGGAACTAGGGGAGGAACTGAGGAGGAACTGGGGGAGGAACTGAGGAGGAACTGGGGGCTAAACTGGGGGAGGAACAGTGGAGGAACAGTGGAGGAACTGAGGAAGAACTGGGGGAGGAACTGGGGAGGAACTGAGGAGGAACTGAGGAGGAACTGGGGGGGAAACTGGGAGAGGAACTGAGGAGGAACTAGGGGAAGAACAGTGGAGGAACTGGGGGGAAACTGGGGGGAAACTGGGGGGAGGAACAGTGGAGGAACAGCGGGAGGAACTGAGGAGGAACTGGGGGAGGAACTGAGGAGGAACTGGGGGGAAACTGGGGGAGGAACAGTGGAGGAACAGTGGGAGGAACAGCGGAGGAACTGGGGGAGGAACTGGGGAGGAACTGAGGAGGAACTGAGGAGGAACTGGGGGGAGGAACTGAGGAGGAACTGGGGGGAAACTGGGGGAGGAACAGTGGAGGAACTGGGGGGGGAACTGAGGAGGAACTGGGGGAGGAACTGAGGAGGAACTGGGGGAGGAACTGAGGAGGAACTGGGGGGAAACTGGGGGAGGAACAGTGGAGGAACTGAGGAGGAACTGGGGGAGGAACTGGGGAGGAACTGAGGAGGAACTGAGGAGGAACTGGGGGAGGAACTGGGGGGGAGGAACTGAGGGAGGAACTGGGGGGAACTGGGGGATGAACAGTGGAGGAACAGTGGAGGAACTGAGGAGGAACTGGGGGAGGAACTGTGGGAGGAACTGAGGAGGAACTGGGGGAGGAACTGGGGTAGGAACTGAGGAGGAACTGGGGGAGGAACTGGGGTAGGAACTGAGGAGGTACTGGGGGAGAAACTGAGGAGGTACTGGGGAGGAACTGAGGAGGAACTGAGGAGGAACTGGGGGAGGAACTGAGGAGGAACTGGGGGGCTAAACTGGGGGAGGAACAGTGGAGGAACAGTGGAGGAACTGAGGAAGAACTGGGGGGAGGAACTGGGGAGGAACTGAGGAGGAACTGAGGAGGAACTGGGGTGGAAACTGGGGGAGGAACTGAGGAGGAACTAGGGGAAGAACTGTGGAGGAACTGAGGAGGAACTGGGGGGGAAACTGGGGGAGGAACAGTGGAGGAACAGCGGAGGAACTGAGGAGGAACTGAGGAGGAACTGGGGGGCTAAACTGGGGGAGGAACAGTGGAGGAACTGAGGAAGAACTGGGGGAAGAACTGAGGAGGAACTGGGGGAGGAACTGGGGGAGGAACTGAGGAGGTACTGGGGGAGGAACTGAGGAGGTACTGGGGAGGAACTGAGGAGGAACTGGGGGAGGAACTGAGGAGAAACTGAAGAGGAACGGAGGAGGAACTGAGGAGGAACTGGGGGAGGAACTGAGGAGGAACTGGGGGAGGAACTGGGGGAGGAACTGGGGGAGGAACTGAGGAGGAACTGGGGGAGGAACTGAGGAGGAACTGGGGGGAAACTGGGGGAGGAACAGTGGAGGAACAGTGGAGGAACTGAGGAGGAACTGGGGGAGGAACTGAGGAGGAACTGAGGAGGAACTGGGGGAGGAACTGGGGTAGGAACTGAGGAGGAACTGAGGAGGAACTGGGGGAGGAACTGGGGTAGGAACTGAGGAGGAACTGGGGGAGGAACTGAGGAGGAACTGGGGGGGAAACTGGGGGAGGAACAGTGGAGGAACAGTGGAGGAACTGAGGAGGAACTGGGGGAGGAACTGAGGAGGAACTGAGGAGGAACTGGGGGAGGAACTGAGGAGGAACTGAGGAGGAACTGAGGAGGAACTGGGGGAGGAACTGGGGTAGGAACTGAGGAGGTACTGGGGGGAGGAACTGAGGAGGTACTGGGGAGGAACTGAGGAGGAACTGGGGGAGGAACTGAGGAGAAACTGAAGAGGAACTGAGGAGGAACTGGGGGAGGAACTGAGGAGAAACTGAAGAGGAACTGAGGAGGAACTGGGGGAGGAACTGGGGAGATAAGAGTGAACTTCGGTGAGGGGTGAGAGCCGTACTCTGTCTGAGTGTCCAGTTGCCGTGGCGAGGACTCGGCCTCTCCTCCAATCCCAAACACACAGTGTGTTCTTGCCGTCCAGTCCGACCGACGCCAGCCGCTGCGAGGACAGAGAGAGGAAACCTTTCAGTCTGTTCATTGGCTGATCATGAACACGTAGCTCCGCCCTACACAAACATCCACGGGACTGGACGATGCTGTCACTGTAGACTGTAGATATAGAGTACTACAGTATATATAGAGTACTACAGTATTACTACAATATATATAGAGTACTACAGTATAGAGTACTACAGTATTACTACAGTATATATAGAGTACTACAGTATATATAGAGTACTACAGTATTACTACAGTATATATAGAGTACTACAGTATAAATAGAGTACTACAGTATTACTACAGTATATATAGAGTACTACAGTATATATAGAGTACTACAGTATTACTACAGTATATATAGAGTACTACAGTATAAATAGAGTACTACAGTATATAGAGTACTACAGTATATATAGAGTACTACAGTATAAATAGAGTACTACAGTATATAGAGTACTACAGTATATATAGAGTACTACAGTATATATAGAGTACTACAGTATAAATAGAGTATATATAGAGTACTACAGAATATATAGAGTACTACAGTATAAATAGAGTACTAGAGTATATAGAGTACTACAGTATATATAGAGTACTACAGTATTACTACAGTATATATAGAGTACTACAGTATAAATAGAGTACTACAGTATATATAGAGTACTATAGCATTACTACAGTATATATAGAGTACTACAGTATAAATAGAGTACTACAGTATATAGAGTACTACAGTATATATAGAGTACTACAGTATAAATAGAGTACTACAGTATATAGAGTACTACAGTATATATAGAGTACTACAGTATAAATAGAGTATATATAGAGTACTACAGAATATATAGAGTACTACAGTATAAATAGAGTACTACAGTATAAATAGAGTACTAGAGTATATAGAGTACTACAGTATATATAGAGTACTACAGTATAAATAGAGTACTAGAGTATATAGAGTACTATAGTATATATGGAGTACTACAGTATATATAGAGTACTAGAGTATATAGAGTTCTACAGTATTACTACAGTAAATATAGAGTACTACAGTACTACTACAGTATATAGAGTACTACAGTACTACTACAGTATATATAGAGTACTACAGTACTACTACAGTATAAATAGAGTATTACAGTATATATAGAGTACTGCAGTATAAATAGAGTACTACAGTATATATAGAGTACTACAGTACTACTACAGTATAAATAGAGTACTACAGTATACATAGAGTACTACAGTACTACTACAGTATAAATAGAGTACTACAGTATATATAGAGTACTACAGTGTATATATAGAGTACTACAGTATATATAGAGTACTACAGTATTACTACAGTATATATAGAGTACTACAGTATATATAGAGTACTACAGTATTACTACAGTATATATAGAGTACTATAGTATATATAGAGTACTACAGTACTACTACAGTATAAATAGAGTACTACAGTATAGAGTACTACAGTACTACTACAGTATATATAGAGTACAGTACAGTATTACTACAGTATAAATAGAGTACTACAGTATATATAGAGTACTACAGTATTACTACAGTATATATAGAGTACTACAGTATATATAGAGTACTACAGTATTACTACAGTATATATAGAGTACTACAGTATATATAGAGTACTACAGTATTACTACAGTATATATAGAGTACTACAGTATATATAGAGTACTACAGTATAAATAGAGTACTACAGTATATAGAGTACTACAGTATATATAGAGTACTACAGTATAAATAGAGTACTACAGTATATAGAGTACTACAGTATAAATAGAGTACTACAGTATATATAGAGTACTACAGTATTACTACAGTATATATAGAGTACTACAGTATATATAGAGTACTACAGTATTACTACAGTATATATAGAGTACTACAGTATAAATAGAGTACTACAGTATTACTACAGTATATATAGAGTACTACAGTATATATAGAGTACTACAGTATTACTACAGTATATATAGAGTACTACAGTATATATAGAGTACTACAGTATAAATAGAGTACTACAGTATATAGAGTACTACAGTATATATAGAGTACTACAGTATAAATAGAGTACTACAGTATATAGAGTACTACAGTATATATAGAGTACTACAGTATAAATAGAGTATATATAGAGTACTACAGAATATATAGAGTACTACAGTATAAATAGAGTACTACAGTATAAATAGAGTACTAGAGTATATAGAGTACTACAGTATATATAGAGTACTACAGTATAAATAAGTATATATAGAGTACTACAGAATATATAGAGTACTACAGTATAAATAGAGTACTACAGTATAAATAAGTAGTAGAGTATATAGAGTACTACAGTATATATAGAGTACTACAGTATAAATAGAGTACTAGAGTATATAGAGTACTATAGTAGTATGGAGTACTACAGTATATATAGAGTACTAGAGTACATATAGAGTTCTACAGTATTACTACAGTAAATATAGAGTACTACAGTATAATAGAGTACTACAGTATTACTACAGATATATAGAGTACTATAGTATTGCTACAGTATATATAGAGTACTACAGTACTACTACAGTATAAATAGAGTACTACAGTATATATAGAGTACTGCAGTATAAATAGAGTACTACAGTATATATAGAGTACTACAGTACTACTACAGTATAAATAGAGTACTACAGTATATATAGAGTACTACAGTACTACTACAGTATAAATAGAGTACTACAGTATATATAGAGTACTACAGTATATAGAGTACTACAGTATATATAGAGTACTACAGTATTACTACAGTATATATAGAGTACTACAGTATAAATAGAGTACTACAGTATATATAGAGTACTATAGCATTACTACAGTATATATAGAGTACTACAGTATAAATAGAGTACTACAGTATATAGAGTACTACAGTATATATAGAGTACTACAGTATAAATAGAGTACTACAGTATATAGAGTACTACAGTATATATAGAGTACTACAGTATAAATAGAGTATATATAGAGTACTACAGAATATATAGAGTACTACAGTATAAATAGAGTACTAGAGTATATAGAGTACTACAGTATATATAGAGTACTACAGTATAAATAGAGTACTAGAGTATATAGAGTACTATAGTATATATGGAGTACTACAGTATATATAGAGTACTAGAGTATATAGAGTTCTACAGTATTACTACAGTAAATATAGAGTACTACAGTACTACTACAGTATATAGGTACAAGTACTACAGTACTACTACAGTATAAATAGAGTATTACAGTATATATATAGTACTGCAGTATAAATAGAGTACTACAGTATATATAGAGTACTACAGTACTACTACAGTATAAATAGAGTACTACAGTATACATAGAGTACTACAGTACTCCTACAGTATAAATAGAGTACTACAGTATATATAGAGTACTACAGTGTATATATAGAGTACTACAGTATATATAGAGTACTACAGTATTACTACAGTATATATAGAGTACTACAGTATATATAGAGTACTACAGTATTACTACAGTATATATAGTCTTTAGTACTTGTTATAGTATATATAGAGTACTACAGTACTACTACAGTTAATAGAGTACTACAGTATAATAGAGTACTACAGTACTACTACAGTATATATAGAGTACAGTACAGTATTACTACAGTATAAATAGAGTACTACAGTATAGAGTACTACAGTACTACTACAGTATAAATAGAGTACTACAGTATAGAGTACTACAGTACTACTACAGTATATATAGAGTACAGTACAGTATTACTACAGTATATATAGAGTACTACAGTACTACTACAGTATAAATAGAGTACTACAGTATAGAGTACTACAGTACTACTACAGTATATATAGAGTACAGTACAGTATTACTACAGTATAAATAGAGTACTACAGTACTACTACAGTATAAATAGAGTACTACAGTATAGAGTACTACAGTACTACTACAGTATATATAGAGTACAGTACAGTATTACTGCAGTATATATAGAGTACTACAGTACTACTACAGTATAAATAGAGTACTACAGTATAGAGTACTACAGTACTACTACAGTATATATAGAGTACAGTACAGTATTACTGCAGTATATGTAGTATTAGTGTAGTTGTATATGTTGGAGTTTCTCAAGGAAGCATCCTGGGGCCTCAAGACTTTTACAATATATAGAGTTCATATTAAAGATGTTTAAACGTGTATGAACACATGAATGATGTCAGACAGCTCTGTTGTCCGTCTGTTCTGCTCTGCCAGGTACAATGCTATGACATCATTACGAGGGGGCGTGGTCTCACCTGTCCGTCAGAGTCAAAAGCCAGACAGGCCACTCCGTGTGTGTGGACGTCTCTCAGGATGGAGACGGTCTGCATGGCGTAAGTGTCCCAGATACAGATGAACGGGTCTTTACCCACCTGACCCGTCGCCACCTGGATCTTATCTGGATGCATCGCCAGACTGAGAGACAGACAGACAGGGAGACAGACAGACAGGCAGGGTGACAGACAGGCAGAGAGAGAGACAGTATTTGTTAGCATATAGTCACATATAATGTCCATTAACAGAGTGGACGTACAGACAACCAGCACTGGGCCACTGTGACACTGAATCCTCTCGGAGGGTTTATGGGATGTATTCATGATGCAGAGACATCCTCAGAAAGTCACACTGAGTCTACGCCTGCGTTTACATCTGACTGAGCACCTTTCCCCCGCAGCAGCAGAGGATGATGGGAAGCATTTCCCTCCGGCTGTCAGCTCCCATCAGGTCGTGGGAGTCCAACACGAACCGCCACTTCCTGCCTGTCACAGCGTGTGGCTGTAATGGATGTACGGCTCAGTCAGATTGATTATTTATTGTATTACTATATCAGCTCCAATGTATTCTGTGTTTAATGCTCATCAATCAGCCAATGAGATTTAAATACAATAAATGTTTTTACTGTGTATATTTACTAGAGGTGTTGAAATTAATCAAATAATCGATGCATCTCGATGCAGACATGGACGATGCTGCATCGATGCAGTGGCCGACCATAATCGATTATAACACAATGATGTCGCTCATTAATTTTCCGGCCGCGGCATAAACATTCAAATGGAACATAACATTCTCAGTAGCCTAACCCGTTTCATCTAGACCAGTAGATGGAGAAGTTTCTGACAGGAGTAAAAAGAAAAACGGAGGAGATGTCAGAGGCAAGAAAAGCAAGTGACGTTAACCGGCATAAACCTAATGAGAGCAGGAAATATGACGAAGCCTACATAGCCCTGGGTTTACCGTGAATACGGTCGGAAATGAGGAGACCTGTGTGTGTTTAATGTTTAAACTCTGGCAGCGGACAGCATGAAACCAAACTAATTAAGACGGCACCTGGAGACCTTACACCCCAGTTATGTCAATAAGCCACTGGACTTTTTTCATCGGATACTTGATGAGTATCGCCAACAGGCCGGTCATTTAGTGAGCGCGGCATCAGTAAATAAAAACATACCATTAGCCTCGTACACACACCGCCACATCGCAAGGTGCAAAAAACCATCACACAATAGCAGAGGAGCTAATCCTCCGGCAGCATTGGACATGGTCACAATCATAGGTGAGAAAGTGCTGAGAAAATGAATACTGTCCCTCTGTCCAATGACACGATCGGGAGACGTGTGTGTGTGTGTGTGTGTGTGTGTGTGTGTGTGTGTGTGTGTGTGTGCTGTGTTCAGACTGTTAAATAAAAAAGATTGTTTATATCTTACTACTTGTATTTTTGGATGAAAACAACCATATAAAGTAATATAGAAAACAGTATTATATTGAACTATACAGTATCTTAATGCATTCCGTCAAGTCAAATATTCTATATGGCTTTAATAGGAAAATGTATTTGAAGCATCGTGATGCATCGAGGAATCGAATCGAAGACATGATAATCGTAATCGAATCGAATCGTGAGATCAGTGACAATTCATACCTCTAATATTTACTGTGTATATATTTACTGTATATTTACTGTATATATTTACTGTGTATATATTGACTGTATATATTTACTGTGTATATATTGACTGTATATATTTACTGTGTATATATTTACTGTGTATATATTTACTGTATATTTACTGTATATATTTACTGTGTATATATTGACTGTGTATATTTACTGTGTATATATTTACTGTATATATATTTACTATATATATATTTACTGTGTATATATTTACTGTATATATTTACTTTGTATATATACTGTATATATTTACTGTGTATGTATATTTACTGTTATATTTCTTTTTATTGACTGTGTTATTTCTTATTTACTTTTTATTACTTATTTTTACTGTTTATTTATTATTTTTTTGTATATTTACTGTATATATTTACTGTGTTTATATATACTGTATATATTTACTGTATTTACTGTGTGCATGTTAATAACTTCACTTCTTCCCTGGAGTTCTTGTGCTTTCTTGTCTCGCAGGTTTTCATGGATCCTGGTGGAGCCTCCTGCCATGGTCCTGCTTGACTGCTATTGCTAATATTACTGATATTATTGTTATTATTATTATTATTATTATTATTAATACAGTTACTATTATTACTATAATCACTGCTCATTGTCCCCCATCGTTGCTGTTGTCATTGTCATCATCTTCTTCATGTTCATCATCATCAGTCACTACTATTAGTGTAGTTGTTGCTACTGTTGTTGCTGTGAACCTGTGTAGTGGAAATTCTTCTCAAAGTTGAGAGGTGCTAAGTCTCTGAAGAACTTTCAAGCTGGTGTGATAATCAAGTCAATTTAATTCATGCAGCATGGAGAGAAGGTCACGTAGTGAATGTTCTCTCCCGACTTCCAAAATGCTCTCCCTTATATACATTTCAGTACATCTCATTACATCACAAACAATGAAACCCCCTGTTTGTCTTGCAAATGTTACTCCTGTAAATCCAGGTCTCTCTCACCAAATGGTCCTTTGATCTGTGACTTCCCCCTGGCTCTTCCTATCAAAAAATTCAACCCTTTGACCAGGGGCACATCTATTTTATTACCTCCAAATCCTGTTTCTTTCCCACACCTGTATATATATTTACTGTATATATAACCTGTATATATTTACTATATATATATATATATATATATATATATATATATACTTACTGTGTATATTTACTGTATATATATATATTTACTGTAATTTACTGTATATATATTTACTGTGTATATTTATTGTATACATTTACTTTGCATATTTACTGTATATATATTTACTGTGTATATTTACTTTATTATTTACTTATATTTTTTGCATATTTACTGTATATATATTTACTGTGTATATTTATTGTATAAATTTACTTTGTATATTTACTGTATATATATTTACTTTGCATATTTACTGTATATATATTTACTGTGTATATTTATTGTATAAATTTACTTTGTATATATACTGTATATATATTTACTGTGTATATTTACTGTGTATATTTATTGTATATATTTACTGTGTATATTTACTGTATATATATTTACTGTGTATATTTACTGTATATATATTTATTGTATATAGGCTATGGTCGATGCTACGTTAGCAGGACTAGCATTCAAACCGTGGTGATGCGTTCACAGAACCACACAGCCTCCTCACCTGATGATGTCATCGTTGTGTCCCAGGTAGAACTTCTGGGTGTGTTCTCGGGTGTTGTAGACCACGCCCACTCCGGCCACGAAGTACACCACCTCCTTTCCGGCGGTGTAGTACAGGTTGTTACGACACTGGTGACCTCTGTACCCGTGGATCCACTCCAGCCTCAGCTGGCAGCGTGGTGCCGTCTTATCGGACATGGCGGCTCAACGTTAAAGATCCACGAAGGAAAAACACGGAATGTCTTCTTGGTTCCAACCAGGAAGTCTGACGAGTTTTGAGCGTGTTCGCCCTGTGTGACTGTGATGGAGCATTTGCCGGCAAAAGTCTCTCCGGTTCCAACGGTCCAATCCGTGTCCATCCAAAGCTGCTGCTAACACTGCTGGAGGCTCCTCAACAGTACAACTACACTTCCCATAATTCCCTCCAAACGTTACACGTACATATGAAAGTGAACTCGTTTTAAACTTACACGGATTTTAGCCGCTAACAAAAGAGCTACTGTTTGATTCTGTTGACATACTGAGGTCATCAAAAACATTTCAAGTACAGAACCTGTGGAACCTGTGGAACCTGTGGAACCCATGGGCAGAATAACATCTTAGTTTAACAGCTTAAAAAAACTACTTAAAGACCTAAAAAAACTGATTTAGTACAAATTTGCACAAATTACGACGACATCTCGATAAAATACGTCCAGTTGTAGAACCGTTCTCTCGGTTATTCAGGTACTAGATTGTAACAATTAAAGATCTGGTTCCCGAGAGGTTCTTCAACAGAGCTATCTGAGGTTCTTCAACAGAGTAAACTGTGGTTCTATAGAGATGCTAACAGAGGTTCTCTAAAGAACAATGCTAACAGATGTTCTTTGAAGAACAACGCTAATTGAGGTTCTTTAAATGAGCTAAAAGAGGTTCTTTAAAAATGCTAACAGAGGTTCTCTGATGATGCTAACAGAGGTTCTTTAAAGGTGCTAACAGAGGTTCTTTCTAGGTGCTAATAGAGGTTCTTTAAAGGTGCTAATAGAGGTTCTTTAAAGGTGCTAACAGAGGTTCTTTAAAGGTGCTAACAGAGGTTCTTTTTAGGTGCTAATAGAGGTTCTTTAAAGGTGCTAACAGAGGTTCTTTAAAGGTGCTAACAGAGGTTCTTTAAAGGTGCTAACAGAGGTTCTTTAAAGGTGCTAACAGGGTTCTAACGGGTTCTTTTAGTGCTAATGAGGTTCTTTTAGGTGCTAACAGGGTTCTTTAAAGGTGCTAATAGAGGTTCTTTAAAGGTGCTAACAGAGGTTCTTTCTAGGTGCTAACAGAGGTTCTTTCTAGGTGCTAACAGAGGTTCTTTAAAGGTGCTAATAGAGGTTCTTTAAAGGTGCTAACAGAGGTTCTTTAAAGGTGCTAACAGAGGTTCTTTCTAGGTGCTAACAGAGGTTCTTTAAAGGTGCTAACAGAGGTTCTTTAAAGGTGCTAACAGAGGTTCTTTAAAGGTGCTAACAGAGGTTACAGGAACAGTTTAATAACAGAAACCCGTTTTTAGAACTGTGGACTCAAACCGGAACAATTTAATGAACTGAGACCAAATATGGACATAATCCGTGAGAACATTAAAATGAGCTGTCAGTGACCCTCCGCCTCCGTTGTTCCGTTAAATGTTCCGTTAGAACCGGTGGAAAGAACCGACAGTAAATTGAAGGTAATTCCACAAATGAAGGCAGGAATCACAGAAATCCGTCCGCCGTCTGTCGGCAGCTCAAATCCGGAGATTACAGCACCGATTTATCACCGTCGCTCCGCGTCCGACCCCCGCATCCCCCGCATCCCCCGCATTCACCGCATCCACACCGGCTGCTCCCGCTGCTGCAGGCCGGCGGACAGGCGCTTCTTCCCGGTAGAGACCCGCAGCTGCTCCCCGGGTCCAAAAACAGCCCAGAAGATAATGAAGGAAAGTCGGATTATTACCGGGAATGTCAGGGATCACCGACACTTCCTGTCTTCACCTTCAAAATAAAATACTTACACTGGCAGCGCGTTTCCTCCCGCTGGTGTCAGTTTGAATCGGTAATTTATTGATTATTGTCTGTTGGTGATTTATTGATTATTGATTAGGGCGGACCCTGCATCCTGCTGAGTGTAAGAAATGATGATACTTTTAAATGTTAGTTAACAGTTTCCAGTTTCTGTCTTTAAACTGAATTACACTCTTTGTTTTACACTGTTTATATTTTTCAGTCCTTTTTCTCTCTGATTTCGATTAATTTGCTTTTAACTAACGCGCTGCTTTTATTTTGAAGTACAATGCCCCAGATTCCGGTCGCCTTCGTTGACCTCCGCGAGCTTCCCGCCTCCGTCGGAGCGTCAGGTCCGGTCCGGTTCTGCTGTGTCTGCGCTCAGGAGCCCGCGCGGTGCATGCTGGGAGGGGGAGTATCTCACACATATTATCTGATCTGGACCAGGACCCAGATGTGGACCAGCACCCTGATCTGAACCAGGACCCAGATGTGGACCAGCACCCTGATCTGAACCAGGACCCAGATGTGGACCAGGACCCAGATGTGGACCAGGACCCAGATGTGGACCAGCACCCTGATGTGGACCAGGACCTGCAGAGATCCTGTCTGACCACCAGAGGAATCACTCTGATTCAAAACCCTGAAACTTTATGTGAACACAAGCGAACCAGAGCCCGTGTACCGAGAGCCTGGCCTCTCCCCCTAAGGTCCCATTGTACCGAATACTGGTTGCAGTTCCAGCAGAGGTCCACTGGGGGCGCTCTCCCATCAGTGCAGAATGAATGGGAGCAGATGGAGCTGATTGTGGTTGAGAGATCTCAGATGTGATTGTAGTTTTTAAAGTTCAACATGGGTTATAGGTCGAAAGCTGAATGAACGAGTTCTGATGTCCTTTAGATTTCTTACAGGACGAGTTGTTGTTGCCCATAACGCGCTAGCATTCTGCTAATGAACGCTGATTGGTCAGTGAAGGACTGATTACGACCAGAGATCCCGCTCGAGTACACCCAGCAATGTGTCATTTCTTTGCATCCCCTTTCGAATGCAACATTCAAATTACTAGACAAACACTGATATCCTGAGAGAAGAGGATTGTGAGGGTATAGCTCCATAGAGCTCCATTCATTCTGCACTCATCCTGTGAGCGCCCTCACATGGAGCCAGAGGGGAACTGCAACAGTTCAGGAGTTCTCTCATTGTTAGACGTTCTCTGGTAACGCTTAACAGACCTACAGTGGATAATATGTCAGCAGCTGATGCTAACGTTAGCTAAATGGTAGCTACAGCTATCAAAGTTGAATATTGTGTAAACAAACTTGGATTTTACTTTGTATGTGTTCATAATAACAATAACAACAACAACATCAATAACAACAATAACAAAATGACATTTTTTGACAATTTTAGACAAATAAAAGATGAAAACAATATTTAAAAGGACGATTCGAGATAAAGTTTAAAAGCTTTAATGACATCGCACATATTTGACAGAGAGAGAGACAGAGAGAGAGACAGAGAGAGAGAGAGAGAGAGAGAGAGAGAGAGAGAGAGAGAGAGAGAGACAGAGAGAGAGAGAGAGAGAGAGAGAGAGAGAGACAGAGAGAGAGACAGAGAGAGAGACAGAGAGAGAGAGACAGAGAGAGAGACAGAGAGAGAGAGAGACAGAGAGAGAGAGAGACAGAGACAGAGACAGAGAGACAGAGAGAGAGAGAGAGACAGAGAGAGAGAGAGAGAGAGAGAGAGAGAGAGAGAGAGAGAGCTTTAAAGTCTACAGGTGCAGTTTCATACATGAGAAAAGCTTTTATGATCTAACTTCTGCTTAAATATTCGGCCTCAAACAGCTTCTTCTTCTTCATTCCTATAGATGTAGTTCTGATTGTGCAGTAAGATGGCGTTAACTTCCATACATGTTCAGTACGATAGATATACAGTGACAGAGCAACACGAGTATCAAAGAGCAGAAAATCTGAACGAGAAGCAAGCAACCTTCATGTCTCCACTTCCTGTCTGCGGTACGTGACGCGTCTACCGTTTAACATTAAAGTGTTTATTATTATTATTATTATACAGATCGATCTATCTGTTGATCCGACCAAAGGAAAAGGTTAAAAAAGGAAGAGTTGTAGTTTCTGTGAGTGTTTTCAGGCGGCGCTCTGAAGCCTGACGAAGCATGCAAGTGGACATTTCTACATCGCAGCCCTCCTCGAAGGTGATTGGCTGTCTAGAAGACAAACAGGAAATGGTTGCAGAGGACAAAAACAGTCAAATAATAATAGAACAAAATGCACTATTGGTCCAATTTCTCAACGGCAGAGGAAGAATGTAGGCTGTCTCTGAGGACGCCCCCACAAAATTGAGGCAATAACTCTGAAAAAAGTAGAAAAACAACAAAGTAAGAAAACTGAAACAATGTAGCAACAAACGAGTGCGTGGTCCCTGCCGCCGCCGCCGCCGCGAGAGAGCGAGAGGGGCGGCGAGCGAGAGGGGCGGCGAGCGAGAGGGGCGGCGACCAGTTGGGATGTAACAGCGGGTCATCGTCGACGGATCGACCAACGATCGTTAGCGGTTACATCGCTCTCAGGCACAGTGTTTGCGTTCGCCTCGTCGCCCGACCAGACGACCACGTGAAGAAAACACGAGAATCAACACAAAAACAAACCCACGCCACGCTCTGGTGAAACCGTCTCAGCTCGCCCACCTCCGTCAGCGGCGGGAAGTTTGAGCCTTCACAAGGTTCAAAACCTGATTTCAAACATTTAAACGTTAACGGAAATATTTCAGTATTAACGTTAGCAAAACGCTATCTGAGTGGATGTTTGTAGGCTAACATTAGCTTCGCCAGCTAACGTGATCCATCACACTCACTTATGTATTCTGACAAATGTGATTTTAGCCAACAATAAATGACGCAGCGGTACGAAGGCGTAAAGCTAACCATTTCTCCATGCTAGCAATCTGTCCGCATTAGCAAGCTAACATTAGCTAAATGGTACACACTGGATCTGTAGCTACAGCTAGCGAACACATGTAAAGTTTAATGTAGCGTTTAAGTTTCTGTTTCTATTACATCTTCAATATTTCCTGTGTCTATAATAACAATAATTATATCATTATTATAATAACGTCGGTTGTGACTTTTTAGACGAGTTAATGATGAAAATAACGCTTTGTTAAAATTTCCAGATTTAGAGATGAAACGTTAGCGGCTGCAATATTTTACACCAAACTGATCAGAGCGACGCCGCTCGCGGGTTGTGGATTCGGCAGTTTGGGCAGTTTTGGGATCATTTGGTGTTTGTAGCACTGGGAGGGGACGGAGGTCTCCTGGAGCTCTGAAGCACATTCCAGTTCTTTCAGCTGAAGGCAGGAAATTAGAAATTGAGTATTTTTAAAGAAGCTAACTACGAGTTTTGTTACGGCAGAGCGCGGCAGGATGCGGCTGAAGCGGTTTCACCAAAGTTAGATTTTCTACTGTTTCTTCTTGCTGAACAGACTGAAGCGTTTCTCTTTGTCCTTCTCTTTGTCCTTCTCTCTCTTGCCCGGACTCGACTCGGTGGTGAGTGTGACGGCGGCCGGCAGCGTCTGAGCGCGCCCAGACGCCGGCGTGCCGGGGTTGCTGCCCTGCACGTCGGAGCGGTCGGCGTTCAGGATGGTCTGGATCCAGGTGCTCATCTCCTCCTGCGGGTCAGAGGTCATTCAGTGAGTAACTAACGGTGGATCTGAACCACGACTCAAACTTTATCTTCATTTGAGGTGAAACTTACTTCATCTTTGGCTTGGAACAGATATTCGTTTCCATCAGTGAGTCTGAAACACAGGATCAGCGTTACCATGGTAACCAAATGACCTTACATCCTGGAGTCAGCAGACTACCAGAAGCTCAGAAACCTCCATTCATTTATAAATGTGAAATTATTACTTGTTAAATTAGCTTCTGTATTTATTGACTTCATTTCATTTATTTCTGTATTTCTGTCTGAAAGAGATTTCTTTATGATCGTACCCTCCGTTTGTGTGACTATATATATATATATTATATATATATATGTGTGTTTAATTAGGCGTTTAGCTCATTAAAGATGTGACTATATATATGTGTTTAATTGTTCAGGGCTCAGATCAGACGTGATGTTGGGGCCATTAGACGAAACCTTAAGAAGGTCAAAAATATTACATTAAATTCAAAATGGCAGACTTCCTTTGACATTTTGAGTTTATTGTTTAACTGTGGAGCCATTTTCTGCAATTTCCACTTATATTTTAACAAACTCAGATTCTCGATTTCGCCGAACAGCGTGTCTGCGGCGTGGCGTCGAATTTCGATGTACCGCCATGAAACAGGACGTTGAGTGTGTGGCCCCAAATTTCACGTCTGATGAGAGTCCCGCCCTGAACGCATCTTCACGCCAATATTCAGCCATAGTCACAGCGCCCCCTACTGGACACAGGAGAGTCGTGTTTTCTGACTGAACTTTAAATTAAAAACTCTCTTCCTTCTTACCTCAGTTTGAAGACATGTTTCTTCTTCTTGTAGTCTGAGGCGACGTCACACGTGGCCTCCTTCAGGCTGATGGGTAACTCGCTGTGGTACGGGACTCCCTGGGCCGCTGCCTTGCTGTCTTTATAGAAACCCATCTCCTGGTTGTTGATGACGCAGTACACGTTGTGCCACGATCTGCCAGTCACAGAGCAGCAGGATGAGCAGCGAACAGAGAGGAGTGAGACATCTCGTGCAGCAGAGGATCTTTGTGGTTACCTGTTGGACGCCTTCTTGTTGTGCCCCTCCCACTCGTGTTTGCGGTGCAGGAGTCCTTCCAGCTGCGAGGAAGAGTCCTGGTTCTTGGAGGGCAGTGTGGACGACTGGCTGGTCTTACTCTTCCTGCCGGAGGTTGGCGAGGTGCCGGGACTCGGCTCCTTAGAACTCCGCTCGGCCACGCCGTTCACCAGATCCCCGCCGTCCACGCCATCCTGACAGAGGAGAAATTAAAATAAGAGGCGGTCTTCAGTTCTTACCTCCGGTTGTTGGTTTTGTTAGCTAGCATTTTGTTAACATTAGCTAACTTAAGATGTGACTATATTTATCTTTTAAACGTCTTCAGAATGTGGTTGTCGATTAGCTTAGCACGTAGCTTATCTTAGCACAGCAAAGTGGACAGAGGTTCTCAACTGTGATTGGAGCACAGGGCGAAAGGGGGCGGGGCTTAGGAAGGGTAAAAGACGCCTGATCAATTATCGAACCGATCAACAACCTGTCTGTCAGACGAACATCAGAGTACTGACCCGAGGAGAGTCCTGGTCCGAGGGCAGTCCGTTCTGGGTGATGACTCCACTGCAGAGACAGAAACAGTTAGTGACGCAGTTCCTCTGACGTCCACCAGGTGCTGCTGTGCTCTAACTCACCTCTGCTGCTGAGTGTCCTCCTGCTGAATGACGGGCGGCTCTGGAGACGGCGGCTTCCTCATCCTCTCCTCTTCCTCCTGCTGCCTCCTCACCTCCAGCAGCTCCAGCTGGAACAGACGGACAGATTAAGATGATGTGAAATGTCCTCCAGTCATTGCATGAAGCTTTAAATGTGAACCGGACTAGTTTGTCCCCCTCTGCTCACCGTAGTCAGCCTCTCCAGAGCAGAGAAGCGCTCCTCCCAGGTGGCGGCCGACTTCTCGAAGGCCTCGTGGCGTTTGATGAGTTTCTCCACCTCGTCCACGCTCTGACCCATCTCCCTGCTCGACAGGTAGGGCTCCTGACCCAGCAGCCAGGCCTCGGCTACACCGGCATCCCTCGAGAACTGGTGCACCTCCAGGACTACGGGGGGGGGTCACACATCTGTAACAACACTGCTAACAACAACACTGCTAACACTGCTAACACTGCTAACAACAACACTGCTAACCCTGCTAACACTGCTAACAACAACACTGCTAACACTGCTAACAACAACACTGCTAACACTGCTAACCCTGCTAACACTGCTAACAACAACCCTGCTAACCCTGCTAACAACAACACTGCTAACCCTGCTAACAACAACCCTGCTAACACTGCTAACACTGCTAACCCTGCTAACACTGGTTGTATTCTCATGAAACTGAACACTTCCTGCACTGATGTGTCAAAATAAAAGCTTTCCTTTTCTATTACATTTATTTATAATAAAGACGCAGACATTCCCTCGTGTGCTTTTAGTTTCTGTTAAAGTATTTTTTGTGGTAGCTAAGCTAGCAGCTTTGAATGTTTGTGCAGTTTTGTTGTTGAGGATTAATTTCAGCTCGTCTGTCCCGATGAGCTCGTGTTACTGAACCGCCTGCAGTGTTTCCTGATTGGTCGGCGCCGGCGGTCTGAGGCTCCGTCAGCCTCGTTTAAAGGACGGTGAGAGCCTGAGGTATCTTCATCAACGCTGACTCATCGCTGCAGCGCACAGCCTGACTGCTGCGGGTTCTCTGTGACCTTTGACCTCAGGGTTCATACAGAACTGAGAGTAAGAAAACAGAGGATGAATCTTACTGAGTCGCAGCCACTCCCATCGATCCTCCCACTTGTCAATCATCTCTTTCCTCTTGTCCGTCAGCTGCAGCAACTTCTCTTTAATCTGCACACAGATAAACACCACAGTTAGCACGAGATCATAACCTGGAGCTGTTAGCTGTTAACCAGTTTGAAGCCACATCCACTGGAACCTGGATCTCCTCACCTCCTCTGAAGCGTAGTGTTTTCTGGCCAGCAGGGACTTCCCCAGCTCGATGCAGGCTGTGAAGCTGTCGTTTCGGGCGTCGATCTCGGCCTTGATGCCCTGATGGTTGTTCATCAGCAGCTCCACTGACGACACGTCTCTGAACACACGAGGAAACACACGTTTATCACAGCTCATTATCAGAGCCGGTGAAGTCCAGCAGAGGGCAGCAGACTCTGCGTACCTGGGGTTCTCCTGGGCCTCGATGAGCCGGATCACGTCCTCCATCCACAGCATCAAGTCTCGGACCATGCTGAAAAACCTGAACTTGTCTCCGGTGTCGAGGAGGCGGAGCCTGCGTCCGTCGCAGGCCTCCAGCAGACTCCTCCAGGCCTCCAACACCTCGCTCTCCCTCCGCTGGATGTCGTCGGCTTTATCTCCGGCGTACGCCGACTGGAGGCGCACTGCGTCGTCTTGCAGCTGCCTCACCTGCAACACAAAGGTCAAAGGTCAAAGCTTTTTCACTCATTGAAACTCACCCTGTGGAACTGAGATCAACAACATCACAGCTGCACTATTTATATTTACCTCAGATTATGGTATTATATACATTGTTAATATTATTATGTTTATACAGTGCAGATACACACACACACACACACACACACACACACACACACACAAAGCCACTGTGTCCCTACCATAAAGCCACTGTGTCCCTCCATAAAGCATTGCGTCCCCTAAAGCCACTGGTCCCTACATAAAGCCATTGCTCCCCATAAAGCCACTGCGTCCCTACCATAAAGCCACTGCGTCCCTACCATAAAGCCACTGTGTCCCTACCATAAAGCCACTAAATTGCGTCCCCATAAAGCCACTGCGTCCCTACCATAAAGCCATTGCGTCCCCATAAAGCCACTGCGTCCCTACCATAAAGCCATTGCGTCCCCATAAAGCCACTGCGTCCCTACCATAAAGCCACTGTGTCCCCATAAAGCCACTGTGTCCCTACCATAAAGCCACTGCGTCCCCATAAAGCCACTGCGTCCCTACCATAAAGCCACTGCGTCCCTACCATAAAGCCACTGTGTCACCATAAAGCCACTGCGTCCCTACCATAAAGCCACTGCGTCCCCATAAAGCCACTGTGTCCCTACCATAAAGCCACTGTGTCCCTACCATAAAGCCACTGCGTCCCTACCATAAAGCCACTGCGTCCCTACCATAAAGCCACTGCGTCCCTACCATAAAGCCACTGTGTCCCTACCATAAAGCCACTGTGTCCCCATAAAGCCACTGTGTCCCTACCATAAAGCCGGTGAGATGTCACTGACCTGTGTTCCCAGGGCCTGAATGTCGTGTTCAAAGGTGGTGTGCATCCTCTGCAGCGTCTCCACCGTGTTCTGGTCGCGGCCGACATCCTCTGGCAGCTTCTTCTGTTTGTCCAGGATGCGTCCCAGGATCTCCTTGGCGTCGTGGTAAAACTTGTGGAGCTCGAAGGAGGCGGCAAGGATCTGCGTCCTGGTGTCAATGAGCTCCAGCAGGTCGGCCCAGGCCTCATTCAGTCCGTCCTTCCACTCTGCCACCGTTGCTGCGTCGCCGTGACCGGTGTTGATCAGCTCGTCTGCCATGCGGTTGACGCCGTCCACGCGCTCCTGACCGATGTTCCCGGTGTCCCGAGCAAACTCCCGGAAGCGCTCCTGCAACATCTGAGCACGGAGCACACAGGTCAGATAATAGTATTAATACAATAATCCAGTCAGTTGTGGCAATAATGTCGTATCGGTATAATAACTAATGTTATAAAGCTAACTTTACTGCAAAGCTTGTGAAATGTATTGTGGTTTAGGTTTGCTAATGTTAGCTTGCTTGCTAATGTGGACAAATTGCTATCTAGTTAACGTAGAAACATTGCTAGCTATACACCTTAGCTTTGTACCACATACTTTATTGTTCGTTAAAATTAACACTGTTTGTCACAATACTTAAGTTAGCTAACGTTAGCCAGCTAACATTCAGACAGTATATTGCTAGCGATAATGTTCGTGAGCAGGCAAGCTAACGCTGTAGCAGTACAAAGAGTGCCGCAGCGTCCTTTGTGGCGTAGGAACATTACAGATATGTAGTATCAGTACTCGCAGTAACGTACAGTAACATGCTCGTAGTCCTGTCCCAGCTCGTGCGACCCGGCCACCACCTCCCGCTCAGCGATCCACTGCTCGAGGTCATCGACCTCTCGGTTCAGCTGGAAGAGTCGAAGCCTCTCGTCCAGTTTGCCCCGCCTCTCCTCTGACAGGTCCTTCAGGCCGGCGTACAGCTTATCCACCTGAGACTGACGCATACTGATACGCTCACTGACACAGACACAGACACACACACACACACACACACACACACACACACACACACACACACACAGTCCTGTTACTATGACAAAAACTGGTTCAGTTTACGGTGCTGGATCCAGGTCTACTGGGTCTCAGGTCTACTAGGTCTATATTAAAAGCACCTCTCAGGGTGTCCGTCAGCCACCAGTCCTCTGCTGGTCTTGGACAGCTGGTGGACGGTCTCAGCATAATCCTCCACCGCCTGCTCCACGATCTGATGCTTCTTCTGCATGGTGACGGCGCTCAGCTCGTCCTGACCAACACAACAACATTCTTATATTCAAGGGTTCAATTCAGTTTTATCTGTATAGCACCAATTCATAACAGAAGTTATTTCAGGACACTTTTCAAATAGAGCAGGTCTAGACCGAACTCTTTATAACATTAATTACAGAGACCCAACAGTACCACCATGAGCAAGACCTTGAGTATTATTGTTACAGCACATTATACACAGAGTCTCCTTATTAAAATATCTATAAAATAAAACAACAAAAACCTTAACGCCCGACTTCCCTGGTACAGGAGGGGCCTGAAGATCAGGCAGCTGATGACTGACCCTTTCACTTTTAATGTGCTTTTATTGTGAAAAACCATCAGGAAGTGTTGTTGGTACCTTGGCCTTCTCCTCAGACATCATGTACAGCTCCTGCTCACTCATCCAGGCTTCGGCCTCTGCAGCATCAAAGTAATACTGCTGGGCTTTGTGTGCCTCCTCCAGCCGGCCGTGGCGGCGCTCCGCCTCCGCCATCAGCTGCCTCCACAACTCCTGCAGGTCGGCCAGACGCTGCCGGATCACCTCCCCGCTGGACGACTCATCCTTCAGGAGGCTCTGGCTGCGCTCCAGGATGTCATCAATGCGAGGCTGATGACCCTGGATCTCCTTCTGCAGAGTCTGAGGAGGAAGAGGACAGATCGATACTCCAGTTTGATCATTGATCGAATGATTTATGATCCTTGGAAATAAGAAACAGACGTGTTGAGTTAAATGTCACTTCCCTGCCACTAATTAAATGTTATGTACAGCATAAAGTGAAAATGTCATTTAAATCAGATGATGATCACCATACAACACTTACTTCCTGTTGCCAGTAGGTGGCGTCATGAGTATGACTAAATATGGGCATGTAGGCGTGTTCAGGGTGGGACTCTTATCAAAACGTGAAGTTTGGGGCAGAACAGTCAAAGATCATGTTTCTCCAGAGCACCACCCATGAGGGATTCACTCATTAGACAAACACACAGTATTTATATTTATATTTATATTTATATTTATTGTTCTGATCTAAGGTTGGTGTCAGTAAATATTCGGGTAACTGATCTCTCACCTGGTTCTTCTTGATGAGCAGCTGGACGGTCTGCAGGTTGTGTCCGTGGTCGGTGGATGTGGCCACAGCCATCCTCTCCTGAACCCACAGCTGGAAGACACAGCAGCAAAAACACACTGAGGAACAACCACTAACATCTGTAAGCAGCACAGTTCTCCTGACGGTGGCGCTAGAGAGCAGTCAGATAACAGATGCTAACCTGCATATGGCTATATAGACAATACTTCTGATTGGCTGATTTGGACAATATAGGAGGTTTTGGGGTTATTGAAGATGCTGAATCCATTTCTGACATTTTCAAAATAGAAAATGGGAATCAGAGTCAACTGATTTTGATTTGATTAGTTATTTATGTGATTAGAACAAAGCAGCAGCAGGTCAATGACAAAAAAACTGCAAAAGAACCAAAGAAATGTGATGAAATTTTACGTTGACAGTGTGGAGCAGAGGGTATTTTAACCTTAATATATTATATAAACTGATCTACTCAGTCCACCAGTCACAATGTCTTTATAAATATCTATAATTAAATTACTGATGGTTGAAATGTAGAATATGTAAATATATATGTAGGAATAGTTTTACAAATACTATTGAATAAAGATTTTCTCTCTGGGTTTCTGTACGTACGATCTCGTCCTCCACGTCTCGGTTGAACTGGTGGACCTCTCTGGACGCCACCAGGAAGTCCCTGCGGCGTCGCAGCGGTTCCAGCAGCTCCTGGAACTTCCTCTCCACCAGCTGCCTCCGTCCGTCCACCTCGTCAGTGTCCTTTACCTCCTGACCCAGAGCCTTCACCTGGCTCTGCAGCTCCACCACCTCCCGCTGACGCACCTCCACCTGGTTCTCCAGCATCTGAGGGTGGAGTCACACTGCTGACACAGCTGACACTACTACTGATACTGCTGATAGTAAAGACACTACAGATACTACTATACTTCTTCCAGTACTGCAGTACTCTGTCATTGTACCTGTTGTTTTTTGAGCATGATGTTGACGGAGGTCAGGTCTTTGCCATAGTCGTCAGACTGGATTTGACCCTCAAGGCCACCCATCCACTTGTCGAGGTCGGCGCAGCTCTGTGTGAACAGCTCGGCCTTGTTGGCGTCAAACAGACACTGCGCTTTGGTCTGCGTGGTGCACTCTAACTCCTCCCACATGGCGTGGAGCGCCGACAGCCTCTCCTTCACCACCGCCTCTGTCTCCGGTTTCTCCGACACCAGCAGTGTGCCGTCCTACAGTCCAATAAGGCGGGAAAACTCCAGTCAGTTGGAAAAGTTGGAAAGTGTCTGGATGCCAATTAGCTACATTCAATGTTCTTCTGTTTTTGTTAATATTAGCCATCAGATGTAAGTAGCCAGCTAACAATTAATGTTAATTAGCTAGAGTTTAGCTCTGTAGTAAAATACCTGCTAACCAACCCGCTAACTATACTGCTAACAATTAATGTAGGTTAGCTAGCTAGTTAGCATCATCTAACTTAAGCTGTGACTATTCCTTTTTGATCTTCTTCAGAATGTCTCTTCAACAGTTTGCTGCCTATGAGGGGTTAGTTTTAGACATTTTAAGGTTGGCTGCTGGTTAAGACACTCATGTGACTTTAAAATACTTTATAATGAAGGGTTTCTGTTTCCTAGAGGTAATCTTTGACTTCTGTTTTAGACACGCCAATGCAGAATACAGGTGCACTGGGTCCTGATCTAGTACCTTCTGGATCTTGTCCAGCCACTCTTTGTTGGACTGCAGCTCGGCCATGAAGGCCTGGTGCTTCAGCCACTTGCTGTGCAGGTTCCTGGCTTCGTCGTAGGTCATGTCCTGAGCTGTTAGCATCTTCTCATTGATCCACAGAGACAGCTAGACACAAAGAAAATGTTAAGTTTGTTAGTAGTGTGATCAATACATTTCTATCTTGGACCAAATACCATCTTTACACCTCAAGTGGAGCAAAACCGAGATTATGTCTGACCTCTAAATCAGGGGTACATGAGCGTACCAATTTTCATACATATGTATGAAAGCCATTTTGTTTTGAGCGTTTGGCGGGCGCCAAAAATGGGATTCATTCAGCAGAAAAATAATAATTCCTTACATATTATTACAAAAATGTGAAAGTTATCTGGCAGCACTGATGGTTCTGCCAGCCAGTGGATCCGTAAACCCTCACATTACCAGATAAACTGGGCTGAATATCAGTACCGACCACATTCGAATCTGAGGTAAATCAACTCCTGTAGTCTCAGCGCAGCTTAAAGGAAAAATCCATTAAGGTACAACAGAGAGGAGAGACCAACCTCCTGGCAGTCCTGCAGGAACTTCTGCAGGTCTCTGTTGTCCTTCAGTCTCATCAGCAGCTCCACCGCAGCCTCCCTGTTCTTCTTGTGCCTGAAACACAGAGGATGAGGTTAGACCAGGACGCCAACACATACAGAACACTACAGATTCCCCTACAGTAGGACCGCTTGTTTGTCTTACAGCCCCACATATGAAGCTGACATCTACCTGTCATCAATAGAGGCGACTCTCTCCTGAATGCGCTCGGCATTGACGTTTCCGTCGCTGGCCAGCCGCCTACCGGCCTCTACCACGCCATTGATCTTGTCTTCGTTGGCATCCATGGTGGTCATGAAGTCCTCCTGCTTCTTAATGGCAGCCTCGGCGCCCTCCAGAGTGGTGGGCATCTCGGTGTGAGCCAGGACGTATTCCTGCAGGGCGAGGACACGGTTTAATACTCATACAGGTAGCCTGTGGCATGACAGTAGGATGACACTAAGGCAAAGGTCATTAAAAGGGTTATTCCTCTGGAAACATTTTGTGCCATCAATCCATAAGGTTTTAATATCTGTAGCATGTGGACCAAGTTGACATTTTGTGCAGATATTCATGCTACAGGAAAGGTCAGGTCATCAGTAACTAGGGATGGCTTGATAAAAAAAATTCTTGCCCGATACTGATGCCCAACCGAGTATATCCTGATACCGATACCAATTCCTCTCATATACTAAGCTGTTGTAGCTAAAAACATCATTTTCAAACTGTGAAACAAATATTCTACTCCCATAAAAGAAGAAAGCACAAATTTTAGACTTCAGGATTTGGTGTTGGACAGACCGACTGATTTGGTCAGTTTCTCTGGTCAGCAGTGGAGAATTTATCACTGAAAACCTGCAATACTAGCATGGGTCCAATCCTGACCTTGAGTCAAGTCTTTAACATGGATCACAGGACACAGGGGTCATGAACCTGGTCTTTACCTGATTGTTGAGGAAGGCCTCAGCCTGCTTTGTGTCCCTGAGGAACAGTTGGTAAGCGTGGGACTGGGACAGCAGGTTCTGCCGGTTCTCCCACATCTTGTGCAGTTCGTTCCAGCCGGTGTCGAGTGCCTGCAGCCGCTGTCGCAGGAACATGTACTGTGCATCCGTCTGGCCCTGCGTCACCATCTCCCCCATGTCCCGCATCTTCTGGTAGTCCTCCTCATAGTTCTGGATCTCGTTCTTGATGCCTTCGTGCTGGGCCATGAGCTTCTCGGCCTCGGCCAGCGTGTTGGGCATGTCCTCAGAGGCGATGGCGGTCTGAGTGCGGGACAGCCAGGACTGGAAGTCGTCCAGCTCGCGCAGGAACTGCTGCAGCTTCCTGGCCTCACCAAGGGAGTCCTCACGGTTCTTCAGAGTGTTTTTCATTTCTTCCCAGACAGCAGTGATCTCAGCCAGGCGGCCTGTAATGGCCTTTGCCTGATCGGGATGCTCCTCTGCCAATCGCTGGGCTTCGCCTCGCAGATCGCCTAGCTTGTCCTCGATGGCAGCCAGGTCCCGCTCCATACCGGTCAGTTTGCGCTGCAGGGCCATAACCCCTGTGAGGTCATTTCCCAGCTCCTGGGTGGACTCGATGACTTTGGTCTTCTCTTTGATCCAAGACTTGGTCTCGTTGCATTCGAGGTGATAGTTCTGCACTCCCAGAGCTGAGTTCAGGGACTCCTTCTTCTGGTCCACAAGATCACGGAACTGGCTCCACCTAGAGGGAGAGGAAAGTATTATCACAGTCTACAGTCACACCTACAGTTTCATGCTATTCACATTGAGGACAAATGGACTTCCATTCATAAAACAGCCAGTTACACCTGTTTGTACCTGTTGTTGAGTTTGTCCTGCTGGGTCTTGATGTCCTTTTCACTTGGGTGACCATTGTGCATCAGCTGCCTGGCAATCTGATTTACAACAGCAACACGAGATGCCTGGTTGTTCATTTCTGGCTCCAGACTCTCAAACCTGTCAAGAACAAAGACCGCATGAACAGTGCCGGCTAAAAGAAGACAATCACAAATACATATGCAGCATCTCATAGGCCTACCTGTGTTGAATGACCTCTAGGTCCTCCAGTTTTTCAGGGATCTCCATGCTGTTAAGCCACTGCTCCTTCTCATCGATCCAAACCTCACAAGCGTTCGCCTCGCTGAACATTTTGTAGAGCGCCAGAGCATCCTGCAGGGCCTGCTTCCTCAGCTTGGTCAGCTCTGCCACTTCCTTGTAGCGTTCCTCAATGCAAGCTAGCCGCCCACGCACTTCCTCTAAGCCGGCCTCCTCTTCAGGCAGGGAGGCTGCCTGCTCGTGGAGTGAGTCGATGACTGGGCGGTAGCTGGCTACCTCAGCCGCTGCATCCTTGTGTTTCCTCACCAGAGCCTGGGTGGAGAATTCGTCATGGCCTGTCTCTCCACTGGAGACGATGCGCAGGGCGTCCAGTGTCCAGGCGTCAACATCATCTGCATCAGCCTGGAACTGGTGCAGTGCCAAAGCCTCTTCCAGTCTCTTCTTCCTCGCCGCTGCCAGCTGCTCCAGTGCTGCCCACTGAGCCTGTAGGTCGGCGATACGCTCTTGGATCTTGGTGGCGGCAAAGTGGCCGGCCTCCACCATGGCCTGGCCTTCTGCAATGGTGTGCTGCAGGTGGCCTGCACGGCCGCTCATCTCGTCCTCTAGGGCACGTTGCTGGCTGAGGAGGCGCAGCGCCCCCGTCAGGTCCTTGCCATGCTCGACAGAGGACAGGATCTGCTCCTTCTCACGGATCCAGCCCTCCTCCTCAGACATCTCCCAGAAAAACTTCCAGAGACGGCGGGACTCCTCCAGGCGGGCACGACGCTCAGCAGCCAGCTGGGTCAGCTCCTGGTAGCAGAACTCCAGGTGGGAAACCCGGTCCCGGATGACCTGAGGGTCGCAGGGCTTGTAGCCTGGGTTGGAAGACACTGTGTTTGGTTAAATAATTTTATAAAGGAGTACGGTCTCGACGTACTCTATTTGAAAAGTGTCCTAAAATAACTTATGTTATGAATTGGTGCTATACAAATAAAGATGTAGACTGCTGCTTTCAATCCTGATCAAACTAGTGTCCCTACTCCTGACCCATCCTTCAGGAAGTAATTTGTCAATGAGAAGAGTAAATAATAATATATGATTTAATATCATAAATATTCGATGACTAGTCCACTAGGAAAATCTTCAGTCGGGCAGCCTTAAAAACAAGAACACTTGGACATTGGATATAATATTAAACACCAAAGGACGCTGCTCACCGTCGTTGCTCACAGAGTATTTGTTAGCATTGGTGGTGACTGCCTTAACCCTGTCAGCCTGGATGGCGATGTCAGCCTCCACCAGGGCGTGTTTCTGCAGCAGGTCCTCCACACCTAACAGATGCTTCCCATAATCCTGAGACAGCAACAACATCTGGAAACCAGAGACAGACAAATAGTCAGAGAGGATCTACTTCCTGCTCAGATTCTGTCTTTTTAATAGCATTTGAGTGAAACACGATCTGGATCTATCTCTGTACTGATATCTTAGATGTCCATCTTCTCATCTGACCCTAACCTCTACCATGTGATGTACCTTCATCTCGTCCATCCAGTCCATGATGTACAGCATCTCCTGGAAGACTCTCTGCAGACCCAGGTTCATCTCCAGTCTCTGTCTGCGGGCCTTCAGCAGCTCCAGCAGGTACTCCCACAGCCGGATCACGTTGTCTTTCCTGGCTGTGATACGTTTGATGTCGTGGTAGTGCTCAACCTCCAGCTCCTTTGCCACAGCAACCACAGCCTGGACACGCTCCTCGTACGCCGCAATGTCCGTCTCAATCGCCTCGTGCTTCTTGGTGGCCGCCTCAACAGCCTGGAGGTCGAAGCCGAAGTTGTCCTGGAGAGAAAAAGGAGGCAGCAGGATTCAACAAATAATAAATGTACAAGAGCACAGGAGGTGATTTACAGAGCAGATTTGAAAGCTGTAAGATGCTAATGTGGAGCAGCACCTGGTAGCTGCTGCTGACTGTTTGTCTTCCTACCTGTGACACAAGTCTCTGGTTTTCGCTGAGCCAGGTCTCTCTCATGGCTGCCTTGCGGTCAAAGCGTCTGGCAAGCTGTTCCAGTTTCTCCTGACGAATAAGCTCCGTCCTCAGAGCCAGCTCCCTCTCATGCTCCGCCTTCTCCAGTCGCTCCCAGGCCTGACAGACCAAACACCATCAAACAGATTGACTTTAATGTGGCTGATAATGTGGATGATGTTCCATCCTGTAAATCCTCCAGTTGCGTTTGTAAGCACTGATGAGCAAAATCAACACACAACATTTTTAAACTGGTTCTGGACTCATACCTTGTTAATATCTGAGATGAGTTTTCCCTCTCGGGGCATGTAGACTTTCTGGTTGTTGGCTCTCATCTTACTCTGGATGGTGAAGAGAAGAACCTCCAGGTTTCCTTTCTCCGTGAACCTGAAGACAGAAGGAGGTGGGAGGAGTTAGTGGAAGAATACAGAGAGTGTATGTTACAGACGCACTAACTTTATACAACATCAGCCAGGTTGAATAGCGACAGCAAATTTAACCAAAATCTGGCACGTAGTTGTCCAGATACCCAGACTTATCTAAACTCTGCTGCTGCCCATTCAGACTGACGGAGGAGGTTAACGGAAGGTAAAGGTTCTGACTTTGGAGGTTTCTCGACGGTTCGGTAGGTGTTGAAGGCCTGAAGCTGCTGCTGGACTCCGACCAGAGAGTTGGCAAACTTCCTGTTGTTGAGGATGATGATGGTCTGTTCGATCCACTCCAGCAGGTCTGAGGCCAGAGACTCGTACTTCTCGATCATCTTCTCCGTCTCGATGGCGTTATCCAACACCTGGACAGGTAAATGGTAAACATGTGTTTTATGTATTTGTGAACATTTTAGGGAGATTTCACATTAATCAAATATTTCTGATATTGATCTGATACAGACATCAATATCTATGCAGTTTGTTGGTGTTTTCTGACCTTTCCGATACGTTTGCCCTCCACCTTCAGAGCTTTCATCTTGGAGAAGTAGTGATAATACGTCACCACGTAGGTGATGACTGACTTCTCATCTGGATGGTCCACGCTGATATCTGCAACACAAACAATAACATGGAAGGAATGAGTCCCGAATCCTGCTGAGTGAAGGTTTATGTATGCTCGTTTCACACCATCGACCAATCACATTGTCAGGTTCCCACTCTTTAATAAAAGTATATATATATATATATATATATATAAACATATACATATATTTAATTATACAAATAACTCAAACCAAGTAGAATTTTTTTCATTTTACAGAAGATTCATAGTAGAACGTTTAGTCTCAAAATTTCCAGGATCAGCCTTTAACCTGCAGTGTCTCTAACAGCCAGCAGGGGGCAGCTCCACTTTGATAGTATTGAGTCTCATGGAGATCAATGAGCTCAGTAAACAGTTTCCTGATGAGTTTCTGGTCTCAGTCTCTAGTTTCAGTCTTCTTCCATACAGCATGATGTTCATTTAGTAACTGATGGTCCCATTTAGAGTAAAACAGACCATAAAGCAGGGTATGCTTTAGGGCGGGGCTACCTTGTGATTGGCAGCTCATTCTCAGTGAGCAGTGCTGAACATATATGGATCCAGATGGTGGTAACAAAAACAGTTCTGGTTTAGTTGAACCGGACCAGGTTCTTACCCTCCGGGTCCAGCAGCTTGGTGAGGCCCAGGTGTTGCTCTGCCAGGTTAAAAGCATTCTGCAGGTTGTAGTGAGCGTTGGACTTCTTGAGCTTGTCGAAGTCGATCAGATCGGGCCTGAGCATAAAAACAGACACAACTTCATTTGCACAAAAGTTTGAGAGAAATTCAGATTTGACAATAACTGTCAACAACGCTGAGACAGCTGTTGTCCAAAAGCTGTCCACATTGAAAATGAAGATGTTGATGTTATCAGACGAAGAGAGAGAGATCAGTCTTATTGATTGATGGTTGCTGATAACCTGATACTCTGTTCTCCAGCTCCAGCATCAGGAACATTAAATCTGATCAATCTGTCCCTGATCGATCTCTGATCAATCTCTGTCTGATGAGCTATGTGAGCTTCAGCTGCTAGAATCCCAAAGCAGGAACCAAATGCTGGACTAGAACTTCTAAAGTGGAACAAAGAGGACTCTTAAAACCAGTGGGGGGCATTAGTACAGGGACAGGGGGCATTAGTACAGGGACAGGGGGCATTAGTACAGGGACAGGGGGCATTAGTATAGGGACAGGGGGCATTAGTACAGGGACAGGGGGCATTAGTACAGGGACAGGGGGCATTAGTACAGGGGGCATTAGTACAGGGACAGGGGGCATTAGTACAGGGGGCATTAGTACAGGGACAGGGGGCATTAGTATAGGGACAGGGGGCATTAGTACAGGGGGCATTAGTACAGGGGGCATTAGTACAGGGACAGGGGGCATTAGTACAGGGGGCATTAGTACAGGGACACATTTCTGCTCCACTAACGAGATTCACAACCATTAACTGGTGGAGGTGGACGGCTCCAGATGTTACCTGTAGACGCAGATGTTACCTGTAGATGCAGATGTTACCTGTAGATGCAGATGTTACCTGTAGATGCAGATGTTACCTGTAGACGCAGATGTTACCTGTGTTTGTGGATGAGAGCATTGAAGGCCATCCCGTCTCTCCAGCTGGTGCTGAAGTTGTGGATGTTCACGTTGGGATACCTGAGGAAGAAACAGCGACATTGATCTTTGATGATCAGGACTTCCTGAAACTGACCACGGATCCAGCAGCTAGCAGCTAGCAGCTACATGTTTCCCACCAATCAACTGACTGTTCAACCTGTACTGAGCACGTGCAACTCACAGGCTGAGCGTGTACGGTCGATATATATATATATAGATATATATATATCTATATATATATATAGATATATATATATCTATATATATATCGATATATATATATATATATATATATTTGGCCATGTGTGTTTGTTGGGGCACGCGACAGTGGCAGCACAGGATTGTGGGATGTTAAACTGAAGAGGAGAAAAAAATGTCAGCGGTGTCAAAAGAAGACACTCTAAAAGCAGTATGCAACACCTGCAAAGTCGAGGTAATGCGAGGAGGATGCCGCGTCAAGTCATTCAAGACAATAAATTGAATATGTCATTTGAAAACCCGCCACCCAAACTACACCAACAATTACAGGAATGCTGCTAACGTTAGCCAGCAGGCAAAAGCAGCTGCAGCCGGGAGCCCGATACAGCAGGCACTCGACCA